ACCATTGAACCACAAAGTAGGGAATTTTTCCCACTGTGGAGATCCATGCTACACAGTAGAATTTTGTCAACCCAATCAAAATCAATGAGAGCCAATACACGGTACTGGTTAGAGCCTCTCCCCCGGATGCAGTAGTGGATATGGAAGCGCACGTGCAATGCATCGAGGAGGATCTTGGAAGGATGAGAAGGATGCCCGATGAATCTGTTCCTAACATCAAGGGAATATGATCAGTCATCAGGGAACCATCCCTGTGCCGATCAGACGCTGCATAGTGGGCGTTTGCATGAAACCGTCACGGGTACACCTAACCCGAAGAAGGCCAACGTGCGGCTGCAGAAATCGTTTATCGCGGGTCAAAATGGATTGCACCCATGGGAAAGCTCTCCACCATCGAGGCACGTACACAAGCATGCGCAATGGAAATGTAGGCCACGGCTCGTAAGTAGGGATCGGCAGAGGACTTTCTTTTCCCATGGTTAACTATGGGCTGAGGACATGACACATATGGAGTACACACATACTCTGTACCAATCAATTGGAACCTCTTCCCGTGGAAGTCTATGGAATGGATACCAAGAATTTGGAACCGGAAGAGAGCGAGGGGGAAAATTGAGGTACGCCAAGACTGACTGGGCCCATGGAAAGACCAACGCCAGATGCTCAGGGGCTGAGCTAAAGCTTACTAGAAGCGCCATAATTCCCTCAATTTCCAGGGTATGTCGGTTCACGCCCGAGGATACTACGTCGAGACTTGGCATCATTGACATTTTTTTTCTTCCTTGGATACAGCCGTATTGGTAAATGCTTCAGTGTTTGCCCGTCGATACATGAGGAACAACGGTTGCTGAGACGGTAACGCGCTGCATATCGGCAGGGACGACCCAGTTTTGGTTGTTAGAATCTCCAGTTAGATACTTTCTGATGGGACTACCGGATTCTTCCCGGTAGACTCCAACCAATACCCGCTATCATTGCGATAGCCCACCTTATTTCCTAATGCAAAGCTGCCGAATTGCCGGATCGACGAGATATCAGAATGAGTGAGTGAAAACCTTTAACCACACCGACACAGGCGGGATGGTCAACCAACGACTCGATGTGGTCCTCGATGAAAATCATGATGCACTCAGAAAGTATGCACCTGGACTGCTCTTGAACTAGACGCTGGTGCGCTGACAGGACATTGAATCGTCATTGCACGGGCTCGCTGAAGCCATAGCATGGGCTGGAAATGCTTGGCTTTCCATTGAAGATATAGCGCTCCAACACAGCTCCAGCAGCTCCATCTGGTTGCTATCGACGCCTTTACCTACTTCCAGCTCAAAAAACTTGTGGACTGGGCGTTTTGTTCATGTCCCACTCCGTCACGTGGAGCAGATTTTAGCATAATACTATGACAGTCTCGCAAAGATAACCGTACCTATCACGTACGTGATATGCGAATATACCCATTCGCAGCTCATATCCCTTACATATGATAATGACAAAATGCTTACCTTAGAGGGCAAGGTTGGCCCGGAGCTCTACACCGTCGTAGTGTCAATCATGATCTACATATCCATAGAACGATCTCTTTAGAGCAATGGTGTCCAGTTGGAGAAACAAAGTAGGAAACAAAATCTTGCTTCTCATGTATTCATGAGAAGCATGTCCTGAATTAAATGGGATCAGCGGCAAGTGGACTAAAAAAGGCAAAGCTGCTCATACTTGGCTTGGTGCAAGCTGCTCCCAAAGCTGAAGACATATCAAAAGGTTCATTGATCGACGGTGTCTGGCTATAGGATTGAAGTTCCAGAAGCAAGAATTTATTTAGGTTCATTCCAGAAACCTATAAGATTTAGCTCGGGGAAAAACAAACCCTATTCTCAGCCCGCGGGACCGCGGTGGTGGACAGCAGGCAACCCTTGCCGGTGATCTATCATGAGAATTTCAATCGACACTCAGGGCATTATAACGCGAACCCTGTGTGCCACGGGATCTCGGCGAAAAAATGACAAAGTACCGAGGCACATGCTCGTCATCCGTCAATACGCAGGGTCTAATGCGCTATCGGTTGGCTAGTATCGCCAAGGTGTTGCTCTGCTTTCTGAGTACGATGATGAGCTGCATGTAGCCATGTGGCAGTCATAGCTTCCCAGTTGAGGATCGCGGTCCATGGACACAGTACTCTGGAAGTGTCCAATCTTTGAAGGGAGCTGGGCTTTGACACCCGGTGGAGGACGGTTTAGGTTTTGCAGTAGCACTTGTCCGCAGTAGTCAACACATTAGCCAAAGTCAAATGAATGTCATGGAGAATTAGTAATGATTAAATGACTACTGCGTACGCTAATTGCCCCATACCTTACTCCAAAATACCTATCACAGGGAGTGAAGTATCCACAAGAAAGATAGTGAGGCTGTACCAGACGGAAGATACTGCAGGGGGGGTATTGAGTATTGAGAATCCATGGTATCCGAATTCTATTGATCTGGAGTTTGAAGTATGCCAGTCAGTGATGATCATTTGGGGAAAGTTTATGATAGCAAAATTCAGCCCACATAGAGTTGCATGACTATCACCGTACTATGACGATGACGATGAGAACTGATGAGCAAGGCGAAAAGGAGAGTCACAGAGCACTAACCCCAGAAGAGAAAGTCATGATCGAAAAGGATCAAAAAGACCAGAAACCGGTTCTGGTACTTCCGTGCCTAATCGGGAAATGGAACCGAAAAGCCTAGAAATACCTTAGGCCCATTCCGGAATAGCGTCATGTCATGCGGCAATTGAACGGGTCAACTTCTTGTTCATGATTAACAAGCAGAACTAAGCATCAACAAGCAATTGGGACACAACTTCCACGGTGGTAATCCGTGGCCAACGAGGGTACAGACCTTTACACAGTACCTCATCCCCATCACGCTTGATTTATGAGGGCCTAATTTGTCTGACTGCTCAGTTCATCCTCATGATAGACAGTGCTCTCCGAATGGTTTTCGAACTGAGAGCCATCACATGCAGCCTCATATTTGGGGTTTCGTTCTTCCACACTATTGCTCAATAGGGTTCGTTACATTTTAAGATTATGTCTGTTGAATTAACAGACACCAACATGCGATTGTCTACTGCAGGGATGGGGTGTGACTATTGTATGCACTACAGTATACTAGTACGGACAGTGTCTAGAGCGTGGCTACTACTTCTTACCGGAGTACAGCCTCTAGCGGGAAGTGGGCTAGGCACACCAATCAATTACCCAGCAGTTCAGGTTCCTTGTCATCGACAACCGCTACTGTGTACTCCCATTGTCAATCACACATTCGTACCATTCAATTTGTGAGTATCGCAGTTCGCAGCTGTGATTCTCGAGTCCGGATATTGCCCGCAAGCTTCTGATTGTCGATGAGATCTGCCCAGAAATTTGGGTGGTGTGCGCCCGCTCGGACAACACCGAGCCGCGCCTCGATGTGTTATCCAATGCTGCTCACTGAGCGCATATTGAAGTAGAAGAAGAAGAAAGCAAACGAAGAATGTCAACTCCGTCTTTCTTTCTTTCTTTCTTTTTTTTTTTCCTCTCCCTTCTCAGTTTTTATTACACAAGCACACGGAATGAATGATACATGATTACAGAACAATGCTCCATTCCTCAGTGGATCTCCGGTATTTATTACCCACAACGATCGACGTAAGCGGGGTCTTGAGAGTCTTGAGATGGTTGGGTTTCTGGAATGGTCTCTCTCCCCCTTCAGTCTCGGCAACACTAATGCAATTTTGTTTAGGATTCTCCTCTTTTCCCACGGAGAAGTCTTATCTCCCGGTCACCAAGAAAGGAGTGAGATGTTTGTTATGCTTGACCTGGAAACTTTGCGGGGTTCCTGAGGCGGTTCATTCCTATTGTTGCTAATTTCCAGCTTAAAAGCACTACGGATGCACCTAACGTCCAATCCGGTGTCTGTCTGCCACAAGAGTGGTGGCAAAGTTGAACTAGTACTCCTGTTTCGATATTTATCCTTCTGCCTGTGGTCGGTCAAAGTCCACTTCTGCCACAATGGGCCCAATTCAACCCCTGCAGCTGCGGGCGAATTGCAGACGACGGCTGTTTGGAACCCATTTGGTTCAACGGTTACCATCTGTGCCCTTGGTTTTACTCCGTACTAGGCAACCTAACCCCGTAAGGTCATGGGAAGGTTCTTTATCGTCGAATTACGAGAGCCAAGGAATTTTACTACGTATGTACATTGTCGAGCCGTTCCTCCTCAATTCCCCCGCAGCCCAAAATCACATTCGTGGCCTTGCTTCTCTTGGCATGGAACCTCGTGTCTAGAGTTTTCAGGAACCACCTTCAGGGCCCAGAAGTCCATTGAGGGTTTTTTTTTTTTAACTTCATATTTGATCGCCCGGAAGGTTGCCCCTGTACTGGCGTTCCAAGTTCAGTCAGTAAACCTACTACTCCTTAGTCTGTCCAGTCCTGTGGAGTCGGTCCCTTTCATAAAGGAATTGTTGGATGAGGCGGAGACAACTAAGCCCATCAGAGTTTAATAAAAGCTTTGCGCGGCCTACGGATGAGAAGATGCCACTCCACACAATCCACTCGCCCAATGTCGGTAGTTTAGTTTCAATCCCCATTTTAGTATTTTAGTTAAAGAAAATGAAAAATAATCGAATTAATATTGCACCACTTTCGTTGTGGCCCTTAACCTTCTCATCCTCCCCCTCTTTTCTTTTCTCATGCTGATAGCTGGTCCATCATGGAATAAGGACATGGACTGCCCCTGAAGGAAGCGGATATAATAGATATATCTCCGCTTCGGACTAAATCGCCATAGGGTGCCAGCCCGACGATTTGCATCCTAGTTCTGCCAGAGAAACCAGCGTCTCCCCAGGGTGGCTTTTCATCTTCCTGTTGCTAATATCGTTCCGACAACTTCGCCCTACCTTGGGGCACGGCTTCCGCACGTGTCGCACGAAGAATGATAACAGCGGGATCGAAAGGATTACTACGAGCGGTTAAACGACAATGAGTCTGGCTCAGGTGTTGAGTGTGCTGGCCAGTCGTGACGACGAGGGTAACTCCCTTGCACGGCGACTGGCTTATACCGATACTGGCCCTACATTGGATATCGATCCTCTACCATCTGCCCAACGCAAGGGTTTAATTGCGGTCACGGTCATGGCCTTCCTGTCCTTCATCGCGACTTTGATTCTACTATTATTCATCACTTATCGGCTGGTCTTCTGGCGCTCCAGCTACGCACGATATATCGGTTACAATCAGTACATCGTTCTTATTTATAACCTAGTGTTGGCCGATCTGCAACAGTCACTTGCATTTTTACTCTGCCTTAAATGGATCACAGAGAACAAAATAGAAGCGTCTTCGGCGGCCTGCTTTCTTCAAGGATTTTGGCTGCAGATTGGGGACCCCGGCAGTGGTTTGTTCGTGCTCGCAATTGCCGTTCACACATTCCTTCTGGTAGCATTAGGTCACAAGCTGAGCCATCGAGTCTTCGTTTGTGGCGTGGTTGGCGTATGGCTTTTTGTGGTTATCTTGGTTATTATTCCGCTCGCATCCCACGGACGATATGTCTTCATTCCGTCAGGCGCATGGGTAAGGGCCCTACGTTTCCCCGGTATAAAAGTCAATTGCTAAGTGTAACCTCAGTGTTGGATCAGCGAAGAGTACGAGCCAATCCGTTTGTGGACTCATTATATCTGGATTTTCCTGGCCGAGTTCGGAACCGTCTGTCTTTATGCCATCATGTGGTTCCAGCTACGACGTCGGATCAAGCAATCTGCGATCCTGGGAAGCAGTCATACGGAGAGTCTCAGGCGCCTGCGACGTGTTATCGGATATATGATTATCTATCCGGTTGCGTACATTGTGCTGTCATTGCCTCTTGCTGCAGGACGAATGGCAACAGCCCAAGGTCAAACACCAAGCATTGCATTCTTCTGTGTCGCTGGTGCCGTGATTACGAGTTCAGGCTTAGTTGACGTCCTTCTCTACACGCTCACCCGTCGAAACCTGATTTTAGAGTCCGAGCCAAGTCGCGACCGCAGTTACAACCGCTTTACAAGCAGCAAAAACCGAAAGACTGACCACCTGACGACCATTACCGCTGCAGAAGGCAAGCACACTCGGGCTGATATCAGCATTCTGCGCACCCATCGACACCGTGATGACGACGACGAATTCGGCCACACTGTGCGCGAAGGATCTACTGACAATATTGTACAACCTTCGGGCATGGAACTGGCACCTCTTGGAAAGGTGTATCAACATACCACCATTGAAATTACCCACGAGCCTGCATACCCGGAGGCTGAAAGCAGTGACCGGTCGAGCAAAGGGTCCATCGGGAACGGCAAAGGTCCCGAGCAGAGCGCCAGGATGTGGGGGAGATAGCCGACAGTCGACTGGCTTGCAATCCTTACTCTTACGGAAGAACGCCAACTCCTAACGTCATCGAATTAATGTCGAATGCCCTTTCCTTTATTTCATGTTTCTCTCTCTTTCTCACGCTCTCTTTTCTGCCATTCATACACTTTCTTGACATAATACACTTTATTAGTGATGCCTGGCCCTCCCCTTTCTGGGGCATCTTACTTTTTCTATTATTCATGATGCTTATATTGATATCCCAGGCCGTCAGCCCTGTGTTTCTATTAGTCCTAGGGTGATTGGTCTCTCCCTGTCTTTCATTACAACTTATCTTGTACATATATACCATTCCCTTTTATTTTCACATATCTTTATATTGGGAGGGGAGATGAAGATTTGCAACCAATGACTTATTTGGCCATGACGAGCCTTCTCATTCAAGACTCTTCAGATAGAGTAGATACCATTTCTACAATCCAACAGAATACAAAGATCACTCGAAATTCCAAACCACAGAACCCCACTACATAACCCCTTATTATATCAATCCAGGTATGCACACATACTGACAACTACTTCGCAAAACTCATCCCTCAGCACCTCACCACACAACCAGGCCTATATGAGCTGGAACTATTACACGCTAACGAACAACGCAATGGCTTCCAAACCAGATCAGCAACCAGCGTGAGCACGGAGCCCCGGTTCGTCATAGCATGACTGAATAAACGGGCCAGGTTAACTAAGGATTTGAACCGCGTTGCTGGAAGGATGGCGTTCCGCGCCGCGTCAATGCGGTGGAGAGATCTTCGTGATCGTCCAGACGATGCGAGATGATCGACTGCGATATCGGCTGTCTTCGGAAGGGGTCGCGAGGTCCGGTGCTCGTAGTGCTTGGTTGTCTGTGGGAATTAATGACAAGGATTTGTGGTCCTTGGTGGGGCTTATATTGGTCTGAGTTTGTCTCTTTGTTGGTTATGGGCTGCTAACATGCTTTTCAAACTTTTGTGTTTCCTGTTAGGTTGCATGCAATCACCATTCGATTGATGGGTTCCTAGAGGGTTTAGCTGAAGTTTGCATGGGTTTTGTTGGGGGGGGAAAGAGCAGAGTATAAAAGTTACCTGCTCCATACCATATCCCGAGTTTCATACGTGTCTACTGGGTATATCTTCTTTCCATTAGAAATTGGTACAGTGATGTATACTGTGGCTGCTTTTGGTGTATTTGACCCCTGGGGAAGATATACGTCGGTCATATCGGGTTAGTGGTGGGAGAGATATATATCCGGTACATATTTATACCACAAGAAAATTGTATTAGTCTCGGCAACATCGTTCTTTTACTGATCATAGATAGAATCGATAGGAGCTAAAGCATAGGCATCTCTCTCTCTCTCTCTCTCTATGTGTGTGCGTGTCTATGCGAAATAGGGGGGGAAGAGAAAATGGAGGGTTGTTCTCTAGTATACCTCATTGTGATCAAGGACTGAGAACTCAATCTGCTCATCGATAAAATTATGTATGCTACCAAGAATCTGGAATTTGCAGTTAGTCAAATCATCCGTCCTTGCCCATCCATGTCTATAATTAAACTTGGTTCCTAGATCCAGGGCCAGCATCGCCATCATTCTGTCATTGCCTACAGCTTGCTCAATATTCGCATTACCGACTATGAAGGCTACTGTCTCTGTAGACACAAGGAATGACGGGCGATATAAACCTATAATCACTTCTAATATTAATCTCAGCCATATTATTTTCAACTACTGCCACTCGGCTACACTTTACAGTAACAAAGACCCCAGACTCCCCACGAACTATATTATAAGAAGTAGTAACTGAAGATTCTCTTGGAACTACAATATATGTGACTATGATGCATAGTGGTCTGTTTGAGAGATCTGTAGGGGTAGTCTAGAGGATGAGACATTAAGAATAGGAAGGTAGTTGTCCAAGTTCGCGGAACATACTAGGTCAACGCCAATCAATGATATTCCATAGGTAACTGCGATATTGAATTTCTATTTAACTAGGTCTGATATCTTATTAGGACAACATTGAAGTTGTCACCAGGGCGTAACTATCTCAAGCCCTATATTCGTCTTGCGCGGGATACTATGGTTGGTTTGGCGGAAGTCAGTGGATAGATATTAATGAGTTAGGTAGGTTATGAATCACACAGTCGACATTGATATCAGTTCTTCCGTCAGAAAATACATGGGCAAGGAACGCTCTATTCTGGTGCCTTATCGTCCTAAGTTGGGACCAGTCGTTGTTCCCCTTGAGGCTTGAACACCAGGGATGTCTCGTCATACAGGACATATTTCTATGTGGAAGGGCACATGCACTAGCGAATGACCGAGACAATGAAGACGTAGAGCAGTCCCCATGGGATATCCATCTGCCGTGCCACGTGATCAGGTTTACCAACCGTGCAGAGGCTCCTTCTTGATTTTATTCTTCGACAACTATTGATATCGCATTCTCCTGTCAGCTCACGGGGAGTGCTTCTGTAATGAATACTATAAGGCCGTCCATTCCTCGTTTGTCCGGCTTGCTCCGCAAGAAACCATTTCCCAAGTCTTCTCCCGGGCTACCTTTACCGCCCGGCATACTCGTTGATGAAGAGATCTCGCCAGTGTACAATTCCAAGTACTTCTACCCAGCGGAGCCTGGAGAGGTACTCGTCAATCGCTACCAAACCCTGGTTAAGGTTGGCTGGGGCGTGTCTTCAACAGTATGGCTCGCGCGTGATCTGCAAGGGTAGCCTTCAATAATCTTTGTTCCATTCGAAGCTCCCTCTGTATCTAACAAACATACAGGCATATTGAAGGGCCAGAGAGAGAGTCGTGGCACTAAAAATCGCAAATAGCAATGCGAGATCCGCTTGTCATGAGCGCGAGGTTGAAGAGCACATTGCCACAGCAGACTCATCACATCGCGGTCGCTCACTTATCCGAACATTAGTTGACTCTTTTGAAGTTAACGGCCCAGAAGGTTCTTATTCGTGTCTTGTGTATCCACCTATGAGGGAGCCATTGTCGATGTATCAGCGGCGATTTGATGATGGGAAGATGCCACTACCCCTCATTAAAACATATATTCGTGCTCTTCTTACGGGGCTTGATTATCTTCACAAAGAATGTAGGATAGTTCATACGGGTAGGTTCATCTTTGGCCTTGCTTCCCGTCCGTGATGCTGAGCCAGGGCGGCTACCTAGATCTAAAGCTTGAAAACATCATGGTCTCATTCGAGGATCCAACCGTACTTGCTGATTTCATGGATTCTCAGCTTGAAAAGCCGATGGCTTTCAAGATTGATTCGACGGGACGAACAGTGTACCAGTCCCGTAATGACTTCGGGCCACTCAAAAGCCTGAGAAGTATACCACAGCTTGTCGACTTTGGTTTGGCAACCAGGCTCGAGGAAGACGACGACTGGGGCGTCTGGCCTATCCAGCCAGACCACTATCGGGCGCCAGAGGTGATACTGGGTAATGGATGGCAAATGCCTACGGATATTTGGAATCTTGGTGTTCTGGTGCGTCCCGTTGTTTTCCAAGGTTATTGCATTCACTAATATCAGACCAGTTGTGGGATATGATCGACAGCAAAGAGCTATTTCGGCGTATCCATGATCAAGGAGGTAGTTACGATGCTAAACTACACCTCGCCGAAATGATCGCCTTACTAGGCCCACCCCCTCCAGAGATCATACAAAGGTATCAATACATGCGAGAGTACTCGTGGCCGCAACCTGTCAGACGAGAAGATGACATAGTATGCGAGACCGCGGAGGAGTACTTCTGTGGGCCATTCTTTGACAATAATGGTATTCCTGTTTCCTGTTTCGAAAAACTCATTCTCAAACTCACGAAATATCTTAGGTCGCTTTCTCTACGAAGATCTGATCCCCGACCGGAATCTAGGTGGCACAGTTTCCTTCCTTGAGGGAGAGGAGAGGGAAGCGTTTCTAGATCTCGCCAAGGGAATGCTTGCCTGGCATCCAGATGTGAGAAAAACGGCAGGCGAACTGATGGGGCATCCTTTTCTTCAACCAAAGCAAACAAGCGCGTGATGTCTGCGAGCGTTTGCTAGTGGAATGACTCGAAATCGTGGTCGATCCCAGTTCGGCGGTGCCATCGGATGACTGGTTGAAGCGTTGACGTAGTTGTCTTTTTGAATGGCATCTAATAGATCTGATAAGCACCTCCCCAGTGAATTGACGGTCAAAAACAACGTTTCTGACATGGTCCTTTTTGTTGTTCTGTAACACGAGGATAGTTAGTTATTTTAGGTAGGTAATCATGGGAGCTAAGTTGCCAAGAATGGTATTCGCAGACTACGGAGTACAGGCGGAGTACACCAGAGGCAAAACTGCCGTTGCTCGCTTAGCGACTAAATCGATGCTCGGCTGAGACCAAAGCATCTCCACATCTCCCGCCGGCGACAATAAATGCGTCATCCGCTTAGTCAAGCTAACATAGCATGAATACTTCGTTAGTGCGCTGAGGGGTACATGGCTTAGTATCAAGATATCGACCGCCAGTGCTGGATGATCTGAGTTAAATTGATTGACCAGGGCGGGTGAAGTGTTTCTCCTGGAGACTGACGGTAATCATATATACTTGCCACGAATGTCTGTTTCTATCTGAAAGATAAAGCCATTGTTCGAGAGACCAGACCCATTGATACGTGCCTGTGGATTGTAGAACGAGCAATTACATAGCAAATTATCAACCCTTCAGTTTAACAAGATGGAGTGGCAGATATATTTGGGCATTGCGTTTACACTGTGGATCGTTCAGGTAATACGTGTTTTGTTGTGTGCGCTTCCTCCTGAGCGCTCATTGAATACTGTGGTGACTCACCATATCAGGTCCTCTATATAGCCTTCTTGTCTCCTCTGCGGCGCGTTCCAGGGCCATTCTACACGTCTCTGACTAGGTTACCTCTCAAATCCGCAAGCCTCACGGGGAATCGCATTTATTTCGTGCACGAACTGCATCGGAAATATGGTCCAATTGTCCGCGTTGCCCCGGACGAGGTTGACATATCATCACTTGCTGAATTCAGGGAAATTCATCGCGCCGGGACTCCATTTTTGAAGTCGAAATGGTACGAAAAGTTTGTTCCCTCGAAAAGATCTGGAGTTTTTACAATGAGGGACCCTAAACAACATGCTGCGCGGAGAAAACTGTTTGCACGTCCGTTTTCCAAATCAGAGCTGCGTCGAACCTGGGAGCCAGCTGTCAAGGAGAAAGTTCAATTGGCAGTCTCTCAGATCCGGTTGGAGTTAAAGACAGACGGGAAATCTGACTTGCTCAAATGGTGGACGTTCCTTGCCACGGATGTGAGCGGTCATTTGATGTTCGGGGAGTCGTTTGACATGCTTCGGGTTGGGAAAGTAAGTCGCGTACAACATACACGTAATGCATTGGCGTGTTACTAATGGCTCAGAAAAATCAATACATACATGTGTTGGAATCGACCATGATGGGCTCTGGAATCGGGGCGGAGCTTCCGTTACTGGCGTGGCTCGGTCGTCACATTCCTCTTTCATCGTTCCGGAACATGTTCCGTGCAACTGACTACCTTTTCCAGTATGGACAGCGGGCGATAACGAATAGCCGGACGACTAGTAATGCAAGTCGTAACATCTTTGCTGGCATGCTGCATGAGTCAGAGAAGGGCGACGGCATGATTACCGATGAAGAGGTGGTGTTGGAGGCCGGGAATCTTATCGTGGCCGGCTCAGATACTACCGCAATCACTCTAACGTACCTCGTCTGGGCAGTGCTCTCGCAGCCGAACCTGCAACGCGAACTAGAAGAAGAAGTCAATAGCCTCAGCGCCGATTTCAATGACGCTGCGTTGGAGGAGTTACCGCTGCTTAATGCAGTCATCATGGAAGCATTGAGGCTTTACGGGGCAGCGCCGGGGGCGTTACCTCGAGAGACACCTAAAGGTGGAGCGACGTTCTGTGGCTACTTCATCCCCCAAGGAATGACTGTGAGCACCCAGGCCTATTCAATCCACCGGGACGGGGGTGTCTATCCGGATCCCGAGAGGTTTGATGTTAGCCGCTGGCTCACAACGGTGACGAGCGCTTCTGAGCTTGCCAAGAAGGCCTTTTCGCCGTTTGGTGCTGGGGGTAGAATCTGTCTTGGGATACATTTGGCTTGGATGGAACTGCGACTGGCGACGGCTCAATTCTTCCGAGAGTGTAGAGGGGTCAGATTGGCGCCAAGTGCGACATGGGAGAACATGCGGCCAGTGAATTACTTTTTAATTTCACCGAGAGGGCATCAGTGTGAGATTGAGTGTCACTAACTAAAAGGTGTCACGTCAGCACGAAATGGACCCATTCTTGTTTTTCTTTTGTTAGTTCCCGTCTCTGTCTAAGGCGTAGCAACATGTACGTATTACCTGAGTAATAACCTGTCATGCCTTGAAAAGGACAAAGTTTAATGAGACCAAAAAAAACAAACACAATCTAAAAAACACAGAACAAGCCACACAACAAAAGAAGCAAACATCCCAAGCAGGTGACTCCACCTTGAGAAAAAGGAAAAAGTTATCTCCCCGATCTGCAAGATCCAATCCCTCACTCTTCTCGTTCTCGGCTGATGCCGGATCATCCAAGCCATACCCGTTGCCAAGACGCATTCCATCAAAGCTCCACCATATGGACCACTTGATTGTATGGTTGATTGACATCAAGTCGGGATTCGCTTACGCTGTTCGGGATTTGCATTTTTTCTCACGGCCGATACAAAACCTAACCATGCCATGCGCATGCCCCTCTATTTCTGCAGGACGGTGTATGATCCTTGCCTTTTTGACTTTTGCTCCATATTGACCGGGATTTGAGATATGACCGCCGATCTCGAATACAGGCGTTCTATTTGCCAGAAGTCCACCCGTCCTCCTGTCAAACTAGCCTGTCTTTCTTGGTGCGTCCCTGGCATATATGAAGTGGATGATTGACTGAATGAGTTCTCGCCCCGAAGCAGTCGTGCGTTGCGCATACGTTGTGATGGCCAGACAGCTTGCTCCAACTGCGTCGCAAAAGGAAGATCTTGCTCTTATGTGCCCAGTCGACGAGGCGGGCCACGTCCTTGTTCCAGTAGGAAGCATAAAGCTACTGCCGTTCGTCACGAAACAGTAACATCTGTTGTGGAGGTGGGGAACCGCCTACCGAAGGTCTCGAGCACGATGGGGATGTCGCCTATCTCGGGAGATGGTAAGTCGCTCTTGATCTGTTCTTTGGATTCTCTTAATAAGAGTCAAGGGTCTAATAAGTTTTATGTAGAATGGGTCCACCAACTGGGAGGCTTATGCGGCCCAGGGGCAGGCCTGCGCAGTGTGGAAATGCCCTTTGCGGAAATCGACTCAATATTTGACTCCATCTTTAGCTCACATTTAGACGAAATTAACCCCGACTCTAATTCAAAGTCGGTATCCAACCCCGTACGACTCTACGGCAGTAATGAAGATATGTAAGCTTGGGTGCAGAACCGTCATCAAGTGTTGTATTGACAGAATTAGACTTGACGCGTATTACGTTTTTATTCATCCTTATTTCCCAATCTTGCCCCCGTCTGAACGTCAGCCGGTGTCTAGCCGTCCATTAGCTAAAGGCCCTCCTACATTTGAACCGACGAGCCCTCTTAGCCTGGCTATTTCAGCCATTCTGTCTCTGATACCCCACCCAAACGAAAGAAAGCCCAAGACGACGGAGTGTTTGAAGAGACGAAGGGAATATGCACATTGCTTTGCACAAACGGCCCTTGGTGTCATTGAAAGAGACTATGAACTGCTCAGTATGAGCCAGGATTCCCAGACTGGTCTAGCTGACACTGTCAAAGCCTTTGAACGAGTACCGTTTCATCCAAAGCTGGAAATACCCCTGGAGGGCGTTGTGACGTTGTCTATGCTTAGTATTTATGAGTATGCACAACGGGGGAACATTGATGACATGCTTCAACGGGCCAACCAGGCGCTTGCACTGGCCATGAGTATGGCCCTGCACGAGGCGGTAGAGGAAGAACAGTATGCAGACTCAAAACGGAGGGTTTGGTGGATGACGGTGGGTCTCTATGATACATTCATTGTCTGGTCGTTGCTGATCTTGAACCAGTATATGATGGCATGTCAAGCATCGGCTATTAGCGGAACGGTTCGTATAAATGCGCATTCTTTACTGGATACATGACTCATCCTTCACAGCCTCCAGCCTTTGATCTCTATGATCCATGGTTTGTAACTCCGTACCCGGAAGTATGTTATTTTAATAAGCCCAAAACTGGATCACACCGATTTACTGACCAATATACATAGGGGTGGAAACTTGTCGTCGAGGCCCAACAGGTTCTTGTCGAATCTGCCGGATTCGCCAGTGACCTTGATAAGACGATGCATGAAGCTGATGACACATCGTGGGTTTCCAAACGCATGAAGGAGCTTGACAGGCAAATATCGTCTCTGTTATTCAGCAGTCGAGATGCTCCTCTAGTCTCTCAGATGGCTCCACATCCTGAATCCATTGAATGCATGACGTCGAAGACCATGCGGGATTTCGCAGAGATCAAGCTACACACGTAAATACTGCCCAGCCACGGAAGGCGATAATTTCGCTAACAGTATAGGGCACGGATCAAACTGCATCGACTCTGCGCTTTCCAAGATATTCTATCTGGTTCTATACGACATCCAGAGGTATCCATACCTACGGACAGTAATTCTCGGATGGATATGCCGTTAGAAATTAGCAGCGACCTTAGCCTGGTTGAAGACTTCTCGCTGATGTCCCAGATTCACACACTTCAGATGCCGTTTTCCAGCGAAGAGTCATCAAAGGCCTGCCTGCATGCAGCCCTCAACATTGTCACGTTGCTCGATAACCTTCTCTACCCGAATCATACCAGCGACATCCTAGCTAATACACAATACGCCCGCGGGGGGTGTGGCAATGAACTGCCTCGAACCATGCCAACAGTGGTATGCTGCGGAGTGCAATCCAGCTATGCAATGCTGATGCTGGGTCTCAAAGCGCGGGCTATCCAACATACCGCGCCTGACGACATCAATGCTCTGGATACCACCTCTTTATCCGACTTCCGGAACGAGCTATATCACAACTTACGGCTGATAGTCAAGTTCTTAGAAAATTACTCTATTGCATTCGAGGCTATACAAGGAATAAGTGGTATATCATTTCCGGTCCTGACAAGACACCGGCTAACTTGCAGCAGATAAATTAAATCAGGCCATAGACCGAGAGTTCTTGGCGTAGAATCAGTCTTCCCACTTCGCGTATCTACGTTGGGGATTGTCCTTTTCCCTTTCCTTTTCCTTTTACTTCTTCTTCTTTTGCGTCAGTAGCCTTTAGCGACCTAGATGATTGGATAGTGTTATACCATAGAGATATGTGTGTAATGCACATGACTCATAACGAATGCTGAGTTTAATGACCGTCGTTTTACTTTTTTATCCTTGCTTCATCCAATATGCTACCACCCACCGACAGTGGCGAGCACAGTAACGAACTGACCAGGCTTCCCATTGCCTGCAACCCGTGAGGGCGTATGCATTGACCTCCTCCCAAAAGATTGCGGTAGGGTCCAATGAGCCTTTTATCTGGTGACTTGGAATCAATACTCAAGCACATTGGCTGGAGTGAAACGATCAATACACGCTGGTTGAGATAGCTATTAGTCAGAAACCCCGTCCCAAACATACTTAAATCTAGCGCGGAGCTTAAAGGCGTGCTACTGAGATACCTGATTTCGGCCAGAGAAACAGCCTAAAGAATCCACGAGTCTATACCCAAACATCCTAAAGGATGGACCTAATAGCAGCAAGGGGCTATCGAAGACTGACCATTTCACACCGAACATCCAGAGCAAGGAAGCTCGCTTAGGTGTATTCACCAAGATAGGGCCCATAACGCTGTAGGGCCGATATTGGGGAGGGGAGGGATCAACCTGCCAAATGTGGATTCCAACCCCTTCCTGCAAGGTGCTACTCAACGAGTACTCAGTACCGACATGCAGCAAGGCAGACACTATGAGCAAATGCCGGCTGTCTCTGGTCGAATGGTAGCCGAGAATATCTCTGCAAGGGGGGACTAGTTGCATATGATTGACGACGTTGAGGGTTTTCCGCCCAACAAGCATTTTTGCCACATCTGACATCGCTGGGATTCTCAGTTGCGGTGATGCCGGGTTTCTCGTTGAGATGTCCAATTGCCATATTCCTTGTGACTCGAAGGCACCGCCAGTCGTGTCCCCTTACCGGGAGGTCTGTCGATCCGGGGTCTGGGATTGTGGATGTTGGTGAATAAGTACATGATGAAAAGGCCGCACAGTGGTTATGAATTGAGTGGAATACTACTAGTAGTACCGACGAGTTTTGACATTTGGTGGGCCCTCAAGGGTTACGAGGATACAGGTACCAAGACCTCTTCAAAATCATTCTTCTCATACCATCGCTTACCATACTGTACATTCCATACAAACCGAAAGCTAATATAAGCCAATCATATCTAGTTCTCGATTGCTGACCAGACACCGAATCGCCAAATTGCCACGAACCGCATACGGAATACGTCACGCAACGGGGCTGATCAGGACGTGAGAGAACATTTGTGATTCGAGAAGCGATACTAATATCTATCGTGCATGTTAAGCGCGAACTCCAACTAAAATATATATACTAGTATTGTCACACTCTTAGTCATATTAGCCAACCAAGAGTACAAGGTGTGATGTGATATCTTGCCGTGATATACAAAAACAAAAGACAAATGACTTGGGGTCTAATTGTACTCAGTAGTTTTATCTAAAGCAACGATCAACAGAATCGACGTAAATCTTGCCTGTTACGACAGACCTTCTGAAGTCCGAAAAGTGATGTGCATTCTTGGCCCTCCACTTCTCGTGTTCATCGCTCCTTTCATCTAACCTCGATGAGGTGGTTCTTTCGTACGCTCCTTCCATAGATTTTTAAACAGTTGATCGGTAGACGTACTGACTTATGGATAGTGTCACGACATGCGTCTCTTCCTGTTTTCAGCACTACGGATCCTTGGTTACTGTTATCGACGAAGAAAGAACCAAAATGCAATCAGATATGATCATCGCCTGAAGCTCGTGTTCTGTCTCGAGACCGACCCATTGCAGATCTGATAACCAACACGACGTTACAATGGACGAAGCACCAATGTAAAAATAGATACGACAGACACACTTCACATGAACACCATGAGCTATATAGATCGGTAACCTCATCCTTCCCTCAGCCCATACAACACTCACAATTCTAACTAGACATCCCAACCAGACAATAAACAACGAACCACCAATATGAATCTCATCCTGACCACCCTCCTAACAACCCTAACGGCAACAAACGCCCTAACCCCCACCACCGCAAACAGCACCACCGGCCAGAAAGTCCTCAACAAAGCCCTGACCGCAGCAGGAACGCCCTACGCCTGGGGCGGCGGATCCTGCGAGGGTCCCACACACGATCAGCCGCCCTACCAGTACGGCGATATCGGGTATGACTGCTCGGGACTTGTCTGCTGGGCTGTGTGTCAGGTGACAGGCCGGGATTTGTTCTCGGAGGGTCTGCGGGTGACGTCTGATATGTATTGTGCCGAGGAGAAGGAGTTGAAGTATAAGTATGCTGCCTTTTATTTTGTTTTCTTTGCTCTGGGTTGCGTGGCATGGTATGAGTGTTAGATCAGGCTAATGGGGTTTGTTGATTAGGAAATATCCGTATGAGCAGCGCAGAGCGGGCGATGCTGTTTTCTTCGGTGGGGAGTGTGATTGTGCGGATAGGGAGAGTATCCACCATGTTGGGTTGATGATGTATGTTTTTTTCTTCTTCGTTCCGCCTCTGAGGATATAATGCGATTGCTAATTGTGATAGGGACGCGGGCGATCGGATGTGGAATGCTCCTAATGATCGCGTGAATAAGGTCCAGGAGAACAGCATCGCCAAGTTTGGAGAGAAGCCTTGCCCTTATGTTGTCCGCTTTACTTGATTGGGATATTGTAGGCCTCGGGAGTATGATGTCTGCGGGCGAGCTGAGTGAGTAGATAAGATAGTCTATGCTATTGTTTCTAGCTGTTCTAAAGACAATGTGTGGCTTATGATGACATGGATGGCAGTAGTACGGACGTAGTCTCGTTGTCAAACGTGGTATTAAATGCTCTACTATGCTCTGCTGGCTTTAGCATATCTGATACACTCTCAGCACAAAATATGTCGGCAGAGTAGTAGGGCAACCCTAGACATTGAACACCATATTTCCGGCCCAGTAATACTGCATAGAGAGTACACATGGCGGCCTGCTGAACAGGCTGACCTTTAGCTTGACTCACAACACGTCGGGAAAATAGACTCGTTCTTCAAGGCAGATAACATCCCCTATTGAGGTTAGAGGATGCCAGCTCGCTCTGACTTGTGCTTTTCGAAGCTCCATTCTGGGCTCTAGTTCTACATCAGAATGACCCTCATGCAAAAAGTTTATCTATCCGCGGACGTAAAGGTGGTACGGACTGCTTCCAGGTTGACTGTATTTCACAAGTCAAGACACCTCCATGGGACACCTGAAGAGACAGCCAGGCGGCTAATTCTAAAGGCATGCTCCACGATTTGAGTAATGTAGCTTGTTTAGGCATTGTAGGTTGATGTTTCTGGGAATCTGAGCTTCCATTGATGTCTCGCGCGGCTGAAGCTGGAGACTCGCATGTAGGGATGCTTTCCCTTTCTCCGCAGGCCCCCCCCTATTGGATAGATTGGGCCCATAGTCAAGAAGATCGGGAAAGATTGATAGATCCACCAGGGCCTTGGCTGATTCACAGCTCCGTGTCTGCAGTGACGATACATCGGTACCCGTAGGAGTCTTCGTTTGCCTCTTCGCATGCCCCACAGAACATCTCGCTTTCGCAAGTTCATCAGCTCTGTGGAGTGGGTGGATACACAGCTGAAGTTCCCGGGATTGGAATCAGCATTACGATCTACATTTTAGGCCATCGGGAAAGGTTAAGAATCGTAACCATCACGGATATCCACGCTATGGAGTAGATACTGTATCCCAACATGAATCCCCGTCCAGCAGGGACCAGCTCAGATGGGTCTTTAGGAGTAATTTGACGTCGGTGATCTTTCGAAAATCACCTGATTCTCAGACCCGGGTGACCAGGGTCGCCTCAAGCGAGATACCCCAGGGAATCCAACCCCTTTCTTAATCGCAACCGCTGTGACATCTTGGCGTATCCTTGGAACCCTGTATGTAAAGTGGCGTGAGAGGCATTCGCTCGAATGGGGTTTGTACTCACTAATGGCCACTATGTAGTACTCGATATCGAGGCATTGGATGGCGATATGGCTGCATGGAGCGTTTCATGTTTCCTTTCCTCTGCTCTTGCGTATTCTTTCTTGGAGCTATACCTCTGATACAGGTTGTGAATTCTATGGATTATTGAGTTTCAAACCGTCATAATATTCTCTAATTCTCTTCTGGTATCTATGGGCCTTCTTCCTCTATGAGACAAAAGTATGGATGGGTGTATAATATGGTCCCTTGAAGCATCGCTCCCAGGCATGCAAGTCATATCAAACAAACACAATGAAGTTGAGTCACTGTCCTCTCTAGGCTCTATACCACCCGCCGATATTATAACCATCTGTAATGGTTGCCAAGTTTCGCCCGCATTATTGGGTCTAGCTGGTGTTTGAGTGACGCCGATGCAGTATCGAAGAAACGCGAGCAAGCGCGCAAGGTGCGAGACTCCGCTCAACCGCAGCCTCCTCTAAGCCATAGTCGGAGAAGTAAGAAAATTATTTTCCCAATGCAGAGCATGTTCAGGGCTATCCTCCGGATGACCTCCCGTGCATCCAGGGCCGCCCTTTTCGTCGTTAGGTCGCCCTGGACAGCCTTCATGGTATCTCCCGCACACCAGACTTTAGCATCATTGTACCTCCGGAGATTAATTCAAACAGATGATTGGAAAGTCTCATGAGGACGACCAGCCGTCCGCCGTGTGCGGGAAAGTGGAGCATAGAATACATCGCAGCAGAAACCGCGATATTCAGCGCAGCCCGACTTCTTGATACATGTTCACCATCTGCTGCCTCACCATTTTCGCCAACGGCCAGGACTTGCCGAGCATATTCAGGCCCCCAATGCTCAGTTGAATTCGCGTCTTGAGCGACTCAACCTTTTCAGGGGCCGACATGACCAGGCATGCTGCCGTGTGCACAATAACGCACATTGCCAGCGCACATGTAAAGAAAGGGGTCCGGGACTTGATCGTACTGGGCAAAGTAACGAGATTGGATAACATATCCGCCGCCCGCAGGAACTTCTGCGAATGCAGATCCAGGTCCGTCGGTGACGGGTTGTTGTTGCAGATCCGGAGCCGAGTGCACCATGTGCGAGCGTGGAAGGAAGCAAAGCGCATGCTGGAACGTGGGTGGTGGAGGTATATCAGTGCGCTGGTGGTTTCGGTTAGTCCTGTGCTTTGGGATGGTGTCCTAAAAGAGCCTTACAGGTAGTTGATCATCTCTGCTTGGAAGAGCATTTCGTCAATATTCGAGCTGTCTAAAGAGGCGCTATCCTGAGATGAAGGTAGTTGCATGAGTGATGAGACAAGAGCGGCGTCAACCGTCTCAACCCGGGCTTCAAGGTCAATATCCAGTGAACGGTTCACTTCCATGACTAGCCCGAGGTTCTGCGCAGCTTCAATTCGGTAAGTGAAGGAGGAGCTGCAATGGTCTAGAGACCAGCTCTGTTTGAGATCGTTCAGAGTCCGTGTATTTGGCGTGATCTGCCACGTGTCAGTTAATCTCACACTCATGCTTTAGTGAACATCATGGGGGAATTATACCTCACTTGCGGAGTTATAAAGCTCCTCAGCGCAAGGCAGTCGCACGTCTGCCTTATGGGAATATAGACGATACGAGCTTTGACCTCGCATAGCTGCCAACAACCCGTCTACAACATACAGTTCCCAGAACGTCCTCCGCCAGCTTTCGGCGAGTACCGAATTACCTTCAGAGTTGATGGGAGCGAAACTAGCGCGGTTCATATCCAGCTCCAGGGCGAGATCAATAGCCATTTGGACTTTCAAATGCGCGTTCTCTTCTTGGCCATGGGCATGCTCAATGATTGCAAGTAACAACAGTCCCTGAACTTTGAACCCGTCCCGCGGGGTGGCATCAGAGAGGACCGTATACGCCACCCTCCGGAATTCCTCCTTGAATCTCACGTCCGGGTAGTAATGTGCGCCGATGTAACGCATAATACCTGTGATATAGGGGGGTATTCGATGCCGAAGAGAAGAATGAAGGACCTTCCTCGGTATCAAGAAAGGATGTGACCGGTGAAAATTCTGATAGTATAACTGCACCATTGGATCATAGGCTATCTCAGGGGTCATGGCTGTGAGCGGCTCCGGCTCGGGCCAGGTGGCTGTGGTTGTATCATCCTGGAGGCACGGAATGTCCCATACTGGGGGCGTTTCGAGCCCATGGAGAAGTGCCGGATCTGCCTGTTCTTGTCAGTCCAGCCACCACGTCGCCAATGGCCGGTTTGGACGCTCACCTCCAAGTCTGTTGCTAGAGTGGTGGCGTTCAGCCATGTAGCAAAATCGTCTGCGGTCAACATTTGCTCGTCGAAGCCCTGGGGGGATTGATTGGTCGGTTTGGTACGCAGTCCTCGCCTCGACCGTACATAATGACACTCTGCATTGGTGGACCGGCAGCGAGTACAGGCGGGCAGCAGGGCATCGCACTTTAAATGGCGGCGGCGACAGGATACACAAGCCAGGGATGAGGGCTGGCGGGATGACGGCGGCTTGGACGGGGTGGTTGGATCCTGCATTGTATGTGGTCCAGACAGACAACGACGGTCACACAAAGCGGGGAGACAAAGGATTAAGTTGACTCTAGCTCCAGACCATCGACGGTTCCATTGCTTGTTGTATGTATAAACCTCCACGACCCTTTCGCAGTCGTTCGGATGTGGTTTACCGTACCGAACTATGCGGTTAGTGCGGTGGTCCCCGTTCGTCGATCCCGAGATCCCCGAGTCGGCGACCAGGCTGTTCGGCGACGAGTTCCACTTCACACTGGATCCCGTCCTTCATAAAGTATTCGCGTTCGCTGCTCCCTTACTTCCAGTTGATTTGACCCTGACTCGTGTCCAGACTGCGAGATGTCCAGGGGGAGAGTCCCCGGACGGGGAATTACGTCACCGCCGTGACCCCCCATCTCACATATCGTTGGATACAATAGAACGGATATCCCCGAACCAGACTTTTGAAACGGATTTCATATCCTTCGGCTTCCTCCCTCCGCCATTTGGTCGGCATCCAATATGCATCTGCGAATCCTTCAACTCCCCGACCGTCTTGGCCTCGTCACATGTTCTAGATCTCGTGGTGATCCGGGTCGCATCCCGCTGTCACAGTCAGATCACGTCGACCCTAGGGAGCTCACGTGAGGGGGAGTTGCCGACCTCAGGAAGCGTCAAGACGCGAACGATCGTTGGAACCACACCGGCGACGGAAGGCACGTGGGCCCGCACCCGACGTTGCAGACAGTACAGAATCCATCAGAGAGCAGAACCAGGAGATTGGGCGACCCGGGGTGTCAATTCCCACCAGCAGGGAGATTTCAAATAACAATCGGAGGGATACCCTGCAGGGTGGTGCATACATGGTACGGACTGAAGAATCCTAAATGCGGGCCCAGCCAAAAAGGCTATTCTGCGGTGTTTGGGTCTAATCACAACGCATCCACATCAGGCATGACCGGGATTTGCTTTATGCACGCAGAGAGTGGTTCCAACTAGTGGAAAGGGGCGAACCGTCCGTGCGAGAAATGATGACCGTGCAATCATTTTTCTGCAGGGTAGACCTGAGAAGTGACAGACAAATTAAGCCGCGCCACATTGAACTCGGTGACGCATGTCAAACGCCGTCCACACGGTCGGCGACCTCGAAACCACTGCTCCGGGTTTCAATCTTATTCCAATCAGCACGGTCAGATATCAAGGGGTGGCATGATGACCATTTCTCCTCCACTTTCGCTTGGGATTTGGGGGTGGGGGCAAAAGTGGATGGATCGCCCGGCGGCTGAAAAGTGTTGTGATAGGCGAAGACGCGTTCCCGACTTTGGTCCCCGAATCAATGCCAAGTCAGATCCACCGAGTCGTTTCACCACCTCGGACACGAACTTCATCCCCACCAGCACTAGACCGGGAATGGTTAACACTCCTCATTCCATGTCTACACTATTCAGTCTCGACTCAATGGCTCCTTTTCCGTGGCTCACAAATTAAGGACAGCATCCATCAAGACCAACGGAGCGTACGCGAGCACTGTAAATGAAACCAACCGGGTTTACCGTGCTCGTTGAACTTGAGTATGTGTTATAGAGCCGACGATACCATCCGCGTTGTTACTGCTGCCTAGGTCGAATCGTGGCGACGAAGAACCTTTGCGAAAGACCCTCTCGGGCCCAAGTATCAACAAAGCCGACCACATATTGTCTCAGACCCAATGGAGCTCGCCACGGGTTCTTCGAGCAACGACGAATCATGGATATACTCTCTAGAAATGGATGTAGAAGCCCGAGGGTCACTTAGCCCCATGTACCAGCCAGTGAGGAGCGCAACTGCGTTCACATGCTCACATCTCATCGTCTTCCAGGCCCAAAACGTCACACAAACGGTCGCCCGAAGCTCCCAGCCCGGGTTGGAAGCCTTGAGAATCTTCTGTGGCGACACATCTACTATAGAGTTGTACAGACCTGCCACACAAAGAAAGGAGTCGCCATTCCTGTGCAATTGAAGGTGGTCTCGAACAGTAATGTAGGTGACACAGTTATGATTCTTTGTCCGCATCGGTTGGACAAGTCTGGCTTCAATGTGATTCGTGTCACGGCGATAGCCGTCGCAGATACAGTGATCTGTGACGCGGGCAAAAAAAGGCACAATATTAAGGCCATCCCCGAAGTGGACTATAGAGTCTTCCATGTTGAAGTCCGTACTGATTAGCTTTCATGTTATACAAGCTCAGAAACCAAGGGTAAGAAGACGAGCAGATGGGCTGGAATAACAGGAGTATCATAGAAGCATCGGAATGAGATCCTCTCAGTATAACTCTGCCTAGGCAACTGCGGTCAAATTACATTGTTTTACCAATCCTTCCTGCATTAATGCCTTCCTCATTCCCCAGCTGAGAAGCCGCAAATCATGACAACTATCCCTACCCAGGTACATCTACTCCCGGTCTCCAAGAGACGGCGGACAATGTTTACATGGCGTGGAAGGTCTCCTGGTGCATCAACTACGTAGACAGAACTATCGTTAAGCAGATCCAGTGTTGCCTCGAACGGACCGAGCGCTTTCCCATGGTGTACGCTTGGATCCGGGAATTTAGTTACTCGTCTAACATCGAGGAAGAGTTTCGGATCAAAAGACTAGTGGGAAGCACTGAGACCTAAACTGCGGCAAAGGAGTGCGAGTGAGCTGGCACCGAGAAGGAAGTTGCGCACCTGGGAATCCCACGCCGGTGGTGATCGTAGTGGGCGTGGCTGAAGATGACGGTGTCGATATCGCTTGGATCTTGACGGTCATCGTGAAGCGATTGGGCAACGCCTGGGCCTAGTCAGTAGGGGATGCGTGATTCCATTGAGACTGTTCTTCACTCATGTAGTTCTGTAGTTGGCCGTGGGGCCATACGCCGAAGGGAAGGTGCCTAGATTTGGGTGCGTGCTGAACCCCAACGCTCCGGATGGACTATTGACAAGCCGAGCAATGGAACGGTTACCACAGCATTTGGGTCACTTGGGGAGACGAATGATCACTCAGGGAGAGTGATCTCACCACCGTTAATGGGAACACGCTGATATAGTTCTATTCTGGGGAAGGACGGGCAAGCAGGCTGGCCATGATATTCGCCCTATGCATTATTGTGTATGTGGGGTGAAGGATGTGGGGTGATCCGATATATAGCCCTAAGTATGGTGACACCGCATAATAGCATATCACACTACCCAACGTCAGGATAGGGTCATGGAAAACTTTAACCATGGCGCTCCTCACGGTTGGAATATTAACCGCATCAGTCGCCTATCTGATCTTCTATTTTGCAACTACAGTCCTTGCTCCAAGGAGAGCACCCAAGGGACTACGTGATGTTCTCGTCGCGGGGACTGCAGCTCAAATGGGTGCCTACCCGCAAAGGCAGCTCTAAAAATGGGCCCTTGAACACGGCGAGCTGTTCAAGGTGCGCTGGGGACGGGAGCAATGGACTTACGTGAGCAGCCCAGCGGCCGTCAAGGAGATCTTCGAATTCGATCTGTGACAAAGTAAGGTTTCCCAAATCAATCTTGCATCCTGCAAGGGACGGGAGGGGAAGTCGATGGTATAGTGTATATTGGAAACATGCTCGTGAAACCGTGTAGACGAAGCGCCACAGTGTATTATAGAGCTGACGTGATGTTATGTACTCCTGAGCCTTAAACATCGCACTGGATAGGCGGGGTGACCGGCATTTGGGGCATCCCACATATTGGCAGAAGCATGAGATAAACACTTCCTTAGTAAGCTATTCCTTACATCGTAATCTACCCCTTTTTCTTTGTCTTTTGTGCATGCCGTTGGTCGAGCTTCGCGTAGGGTGTATTCCAGTGTGACAGCAAAGTGTACATGGAACTCTGGGAGGAGAGTATCTCAAGAGAGGTGTTCATCTGGGGATAGCCCTGGATTGCTTCTGCAAAACCTTCTACCCCAACGACCCCAAGAAGGCAGGAATCGATGATCTCGCCGCTGCATATACAAGTAGGGAGGGCTCGTGGAGGCCGGGAGCGAGACAACCGCCACAATGCTGAATAACTGGCTATTGGCCATGGCACAGAATGCTGAGGCAGTTAGAAAGGCGCAGGAAGAGTTGGATTACGTTGTAGGATCCGACCGTCTGCCGACCTGGGAGGATGAAAATAACCTACTAAGGCGTAAGACTTCTCAGGCCCTGAGGTCCTCCACTCTTCCTGACTGCCGCACGGATGTCGACTTGCAGTTGTGCTTCAGACCATCAGATTGTGGGACTTCCATGTGGGGTATAATCCACTCTGGTATCAACCCCCACTCTGTATGGGTCGGTCGAGTTGACACCGCGTACTTAGAGGGTGGACTTAGTCGGGGGGTATTTCCGGTGGAATCTGGGGATCCTCGCTACTAATGATACCAACATCATACACCCTGTACAGAGTGAAAGCTGCTCACATCACGGTATTCGCCCCTTCGTCCCAATGTCTATCCCGTTCGTCCTGATTGTCGGCGCTGGCCCTAGCGGTCTGCTCCTTGCACTCCTGCTAGGCAAACGGGGAATCCCCGTGCGGCTGCTCGAAGCGGCAGACTCTCTTGATGACCGTCCTCGCGCTGCCCATTATTCCCCACCCGCTGTGTACGAGCTGCGCCGTGCGGGAATCATTGAAGACATGGAAGCAGAGGGATCGTTCTTGCCAAATGGAGCGTGCTGGAGGAAGCTGAATGGAGAATTTCTGGCGGCTGTCTCTTCTCCTGGTGCAAAAGACGCAAATCAGACCCCGTTGACTTGCCTTCCGCTAAATAAGCTGAACGTGGTTCTTCAGCGACAGATCGACCAATTACCCCATGTGGAGATCTTGCATTCTCACAAAGTCACTGCACTGTCCCAGGATGATACCAAGGCATGGGTAACCGTTGAAACCCCGAACGGCCTGCAAACACTGGAAGCGCAATACATCGTTGGGTGCGACGGCGCAAACAGCAAAATCCGTCGCTCTCTATTTGGTGCCAGAGAATTCCCCGGGTTTACTTGGGATAAGCAGATTGTTGCTACAAATGTGTGTCTCAATCAACTGGCTCGGCTGTGCATTGCCATAGGAAGAGCAGACAGCTAATAGACCTTCCTCTTCTTTCCAGACATATTATCCTTCGAGAAATACGGGTTTGATTGGGATTCCAATTTCATCATCCATCCGGAGCACTGGTATATGGCAGCCCGGATTTCCAATGACGGTCTTTGGCGCGTCAGCTACGGCGAGGTGGCGGGCCTCAGCTTCGACGAACTGAAGGCTAGACAGCCGGCGAAGTTCAAGGCCTTCTTACCGGGTAGTCCTGACCCTGGGGATTATAGAGTTGCCAATTTCAGCCCTTACAAAGTCCACCAGCGCCTTGCTAAGAAAATGAGGGTCGGACGGTTCCTCTTAGCTGCCGACGCGGCACACTGTGAGTCTTTCCCGTCTATACCCAGACAAGTTTATTGGCCTCGGCTTCTAAGAACATCTGCCTTTCTCTTGCAGTATGCAACCCCTTCGGCGGTCTAGGATTGTCGGGCGGAATTGTGGACGTGGGAGGTCTCTACGACTGTCTAGCGGGTATATATACTGGACAAGCCGACGACAGCATCCTTGACATCTACTGCAAGGTTCGGCGTTCAAAGTACAACGATATCATAAACCCGGTTTCGACTAGTAACATCCGTCTTTTGTTTGAACAGGACCCCGAGACAGCACTCGAGGAGAGCGAGTTTTTGAAAACGTGCAAGAAGGCCGAGACGGATGATGCAGTTGCTGCTTCACAGAGGAAGGGGCTGGAAGCTTTACAGTATGACTTTACGCGGCATTACCGGAAATGAGATGCTGCACATTAGTTTTCCAAAAACCTGAAAATAGCCTGCTGTCTGCAGGGTGGCCTTGCTTGTTATACCTGTTCAGTAATCTAAATGGAGCCATTGCCTTCTAAGACTGGCCATACTCATGCGTATTGTAGTACTACATGCCTCCAAATTCTGAAGATATAATGACTACTCTCAAGTGACATTCCGTAAGCTTTAGTAGGGTCTGTCTCGATTCCCGAGGCACGGCAATTACCAGTAGTATGTGGGGTCATCAGTAGGCTGGGGACGGGTGGCTGCTGTGCGTACCGGTGTTTTGATGGAATTCCAGGCACCATGTCCACTGACAGCGTGAGCAAGGAAGAATTTCGACAGGTGCACGGAAAGGCTATCGTGGTTCTTGGTGGTACAACATGTATAGATCGCTCGGTCAGGTGTCAAGTTTCCCTGTCGGTCTGTGATGAGCCCCTCTATACCTGAATTACCCTCTTAGCATCTACAGGGTTGCCTGGCTTCTACGCAATTCTCTCTCACATCCCTTTGCGGTGCCTGATATACAGCGGGCAGTGGAGTAGTGCGTGCGCTCGGTCCCTTCTTCCGTATGATACTAGCGGCTACACGCAAAGTGCCAATGCTAATTTGTTGACATCCGTCCGAATTTATATTGATGGATCATTCTTCAGAGCATGCCAATCACGGAGATGGGACTCAATAAAGTAGGTTTGGAAGGAATATGCTTTGTTTTGTGGTATCTTTCATACGTTTTGAAGTAACTATGGCGTTTGGCTGATGTAAGATCAGGAAGGGATTAGATAAGAAACCGAGATACAGGATGGAGAAAGTAGAAACAATTCCCAAATTGAGATATAGTTATCAGGATTGAAAGACGACGCTGGGTCCTTCTGTCCGCTTTCTCATGTACCGTTGGAGGCGGTATGCACATCGCACTACCAAGAGTCACGCACAAGTTCTTTGTATCTACCATGAGACTTGTTTGAGGTCGTCAGGAACTTTCCAACCATGCAATTGACACACTCTCGTATACGCCGCCACAGCCTCGCCGACGGAATAGTCCTCCGTCCGCCGTTGATCGAGACGAGCCGGTACTGGATCCGTACTGCTGAGAGCCATGCGAACTTGCAGCAAGACACTTTCAATACTGGATACAGGAGACCAACCTGAGCTCGTCAGTAGCTCCATGCACATCGCCCCTCCAGCCGTAACATGACCTCCACCCCCCTGGCTAAACGGCAGAAATCGTGGGCGAATAATGCGCACAAAAGGGGGTGACATTGGAAACTGAGGCGGAAACCGCAACTCCATGATAATGGATGTCAGACCCGCCATTTCCAGGTCCTGCGCCAGCGGCAGGGATGGGTCGAAGCTGTGTAGTTGCACAATCCACTGGTAAACGTTGTTAACGAGATTTGGATCAATATGCCAGCCTAGGTCATACAAAGCCGCCCGTTGTTGCACTTTCAATGTGGCCTGGAGATGCCGTTGAAGAGACTTGGTAGCCATCGTCGTAGCATACTTCGGCGGGCCAAGTAGCTGCAGAGTCGACTCCTCCAGCTTTCCGGGTCGAAAGTCAGTTTTGGACAAATCATAGAAAACATCTTTCGCTGTCTCGTCGTGGGTATCGGTACTGTCTATCCCATCTGTCTCGAGCAACCAGTCATCGTCAGTGAATGTGGCGACACTGTCGGGGTCATCATCAGACACTGGGGTCACATCATGTGAAACCTGCCCTTCACGTGTATTTCTCGGTGTCATTTCTGCATGCTGCTGGCTCCAATGACTGCTGACAGCAGAGATAGGGAGTGTCAGAGCCCTACCGGTGGGTCCAGAGGCCTCATAGTCAGGCTGCTGGGTATATGTAATTGATGGCTCTAATCCCGTGTCGCCCATAATCAGAGAAGCACTTTTACACCCAACAATGAGATACCTGGGCTGAATCCAGTCCAGTCTGTCTACCACGTATTGCCCGCTATTGAATACGAATTGCTCGGGAGCGTTGACTATTTCATTCAGTGAAAGGGCTCTGTCGATCTTCAGAGTGCTATTGGGCCACGCGTTGTTCACATGGTTGGATCTTGCATATGTCAGTGAACGCCAAAAGTGCCGCGACATATAAACCCCATCTCCCGTACTACGGCCATGCGCGATTGTTCTGAAGTGGAACCCTTCGCGTAAGATGCTATGCCAGTTGGACAGCGGGCTTCCATGCCAAGCGAATATTGTAGGGTACTCTGGATTATGGGGGGAAGAAAGTGACTTAACGGCGCTAACAAAGCGCTGCTCCTTATCCGGTGCTCCTTGCGCGAGCCTGAACTGGGCATATCCATCCAAGTGTGGAATTTGGTGTTCAGGATCGTCCTCATACCTGATACATGACCTGTTTGATGCAACAATCCACCGAAGGGCATAGAGAGCAGCTGGAGATATTCTATCGCACCACGACGACAACGTCCTCTTACAACTGCTGTTTGGGTGGCTCGAAATGAATGATCGCATTGAGTTAATGTTGGGAAGCGTATCCAGAAGCATTACTATGGAATCACATTTTGCCCTATCAGGCAAGTCGTCGAAGCATCCGTTGTACCGCACAAATTGTACTGCATCGCTGCGTTCCAAACTAATGCCCTGTCCATCCGGTGCCCCTCTAATAACCGGAGGCGATAGACGAATGGTAGACGGGAAATCGGCGTCCTGTACGCGACAATGCCACTGGAGCTGACCATGGTGAATCTGTGCACCAGAAGGCACAATCAGAATCCAATCGCCGACTCTTAAATCCGGTGTACCACGGGCATCGAGTATCATGGTAGATTGGTTGAGCCGTCCATGGTGAACCCGCTGAGTGATTGTATCGGCGTAATAAGGGACATTCATTCCAATACCTGTAGGGAAGTCTTCCAGGTAGCCAGCCATGGCACGAGCATAAGTAAAACTGACAAGCATATCGACGACGTACGGCTGGGATATTATCTCCCACTCGAGGCTAGGCCCCATACCAAGTCTCATGTACTGGTACAGACACAAGCTATTTGAGCAGACATAGGGCATAAGGGCCTCGAAGTCCGCTTCGACCTTGCAAAAACAATTGAGACAGAACTCGGTGCACCTAACAAACCTCCGAAGGGTGAATTGGATTGCAGACAGAGGAAGTGATAGTGGAGTTCTTCCTTCGGAAATATGGTCTGCTCGCAGGAACAGTGAAGTTGCGGCATTCCAAGGTTCTGGAACAAAGTACACTCCTCGTGCTACGTCTTCGGAATCCGGGATTCTACCTTGACTATTTTTCAGGAATAGCTCGGCCCCCGTCCACGTAAAGCCATGTTGGAGACGGTGTCGCAATAAGGCTATTAAATGTGTATTGAGGAGTGTATCCAGTGAGTCGCCAATGAAGAAGGGTTGCAACTCTGGTTCCACCTTCTTGGCATTTCCGGGGGTTTTAGCGTTCGTCGAAAGAAAAGCTTGCATAGCAGAAATCGAGCTAGGCTTGTATGAATCGCAGAGACCAACATGCATCTGAATCAACGGTGCTGTCGGGCTGGATTTGTCAATTACTTGGTCAAGGTTGCAGTACCCTGAAGGATATCGCAAAAGCAGCACTAGATACTGCGAAGGGCGGACATTCCAAGTCTGCATGGCAACTTGGGAGATACCAAGTTTTGCTATTCGGCAGGAAATCGAGACAATGAGAGATCCAGTTAACTCTCCAAGGAAGCCAACTCGAAACCCAGCCTTTTTTACAGCGCCCATGTCTGAGCGTATTTGCTTCATCACCTTGGCTTTGTCCGTCGGCGGTGTAAGTTGGCCGTCGGAGTCAACGTCGGAGCTAACGTTGAAGTCCATATCATCACCAGAGAAAATCTCACTTTCAGAAGAATCCTCATGGACCGAATCCAGGGCAGAACCTACCCCCAACAGAGCATTATCTATGCTGTTGCTGATGCATTCTAGAAACGGCCCAATTGTTAACCTCGCCACGGTCGGTTGCAACCGTTCTATAGCCTTAGATACATCATCGGGAACGTTATCGCTCGCGGCAAATGTAAAATAAGTATGATGGCCAGGATAGTCATGAGTGTCTGCCATGTGCCGATTAGTGGCAGTCGATGGATTGAAGAGAAAAGCAAAGGCTCATACCCAATATTGAGGTCTGAAAATCAAACGTCTGATTGCTAAAAGGTACCATGTAGGTATATAGGACCGAGCCATGTTCGTCGCCCGCCCTAACCCCTTCCAGACGGGGAAATCGCCCCGGCACTGAGGCTTGACTGAGGTCCCTCTGGAACTCCTTGCGAGGCATGGTTAACCGGCTGACGGTGCGGGGCAGGCACTAATGCCGCTAACGAGGAAGTGGAAACTTGAAATAACAGAGTGACTGCGGGGAAGGTGCAATAAGAATAAGTATATGAGGAGGAGGTGATGGCACCAAGAAAATACGTAAGTAATGGGGAAGACTTACATAGGGTGACGCTGGTAGGGATAGGAATCTGGATGAAGCATTACAGTTCCAAACACGGAAGCCACGGGCTTTGCTGCCTGGCTACAGCCTTGTGGTGTCAGTTCGGACTTCTCATGCCCCTGGTGGCAAGTGTCTCGAACATGTCCTGCTCGGTATACCCTGTGCAATCAGCTACCTGGAATATTCCCTAAGCTAGATTCTTGAATATCGCAAGGTACATTATGAGATGGTGACCATCCATGTAGGAAGTAATGTTTACGTCGTTATCAGTGGTAGATTGCATGCAGAAGAAACACTCGGTGATGAACTGCATAATATTACTAAGCTGTGCACACACCGCCCAAACCGGTTCTGCATAAATTATCGCTTCCGCAACGTTTCTCCGTCCCGCCTCAGGCAACGCCGTTCAAGGCGATTACGAATCTCACTTGTTAACTAGTTACCCACAGCTCACTACTCTATACTCCGGCTTTCTGCGGCCCATGCTTGGGAAATGAGATAACGAGATAACTGCCTAGAAACGTGCGCTGAAACGCAACACGATTGGGAAATCCTCCGTGTGTCGTCTGGTTGTCTACTAGCCGTAATTCTACGTTGGCTGCGCCCTGTACGGAGTATACATAGATGTATTCGATATGTACGCAACCGATTCCCAGCTACCGCTAAAGCGTAGGCGGATTGTCACGTCATGTTCCGAATGCCATCGCAGGAAACAAAAGGTATACCAAGGACTGCTCCCTACTACCATCTAACTTAGTTTTACTAATGCCCGTCAGTGTGATCGGAGGTCCCCATGTAACAATTGCTTAGCGCGCAACGTCGCAAAGAAATGTCTGTATAACGCGCTTCAAAGGTATGTCTCTTCTCTCAGTGGCTACCAGGGAGTGTAGTCTTCTAATACCGTGGGTAGTTCTGGCCAGATAACTGAAGCACCGGAAGTCCTGGGGCCAGAGCACGGCCAGGACCATGCGCCGGAGGTTCCAGCGGACAATGTCCAAGGCTCGGGAGATCTCGGCTACTCCATGATTACGGGGAGCAACGCTTTTGTGGGATTGAACGACGTCCGTCTTCAAGTGATGACACCTAATGGTTGTGCGTTGTCGCTAATAAAGGATAGGTGCTACAAGACGAAGATGAGTTTCGGCAGATTACATCTGCTCATAACCGTCCGTTTCGTTCAAATGCTTTGAAAACACACGCTCACACACTGATATCACACCTACCCTCAAAACCAGTACTGCAACGGCTCGTCAAAGTATTCTTTGAGGAGGTCAACTGGCATTACTCTATACTCGAAAGATTCTATTTTGATGACCTCTTCACACGCTGGCAAACCACCGAAATGCGCCCCGTTGATTATCTTAGTGTCCAAGAGCTATCTGCGGAGCTACAGTACTTCCCAGCTCTTCTATTTCAGGTGCTCGCCCTCTCACTTCAATTTCTACCACCCGAAGCGCTTGCTCCGGTCCAGCTGTCATCGAAAGAACTTTCCTCATCATATAGGTACAGCGAATTGGGCGATGAACTTGTAATAGTATTGGGTAGACATGGTGTAGCGCTCACCGCTGTCTTAGCGGACTTTTTGCGGGCCTCGTGGCTCAAGAATTATGGAAGGGGTGTTGAAGCATGGCATAGTACAGGGAATGCTATCAGGTGAGTCTGTTTCGCAACTCCGTGTTGCCGGATTGATAACTGATTTTCGATGGGATTAAGGCAAGCCCAGGAGCTCGCTTTGCACCGGCAACGCGACATTCACCAATCAAGCCTTAACAGTATCGAACAAACGTTGAGCATGATATGGTATGATGATTTCAAAAAACGTGTTTGGATTAATTTGTTCGTATGGGACAGGTATGAAAGACCCGAGGACAGATGGTACGTTCCTGGCTAATTAATGTCAAAGTCTAATGGCTATGATACTGGGGCGCCCGCGAATGATCCACCCCGACGACTGTGACGTGAAACTGCCAATCGACTGTAACATCCCTAAGGATCCGTCGAAGACAGTTCCAATGACAGTACAGTCTGGTGAACCTTCTGATGGGCCTACCACAGTATCGGCAGGCTTATTCCGATACGCCTTGGCGTGCAAGTTTCACGAGTTGAGGGCTTTAAAAGCAGATAGACCCCATGTAAAGGACCACACTATCATCAAAGGTCTACACGAACAGGTGATATCGTTGCTAGAAAATGTGCCGCCATATCTTAGATTTAAAAATCCCGATCCTTCCTGGGACGGGGACTACCCCTTCCTGCCGCAGCTCCGTGAGGAGGTTTTCATGACAGCGAACCTGTTTTTGATGACGTTGCACCGACCGCACATCCTTGCTAATGCGGAAAGCCGAAAGGCTGCGTTGGAAGCGACACTGGCCACGTTAGAATCACAGCAGCGATTTTTCGGGCAAACGAGTGAACATCACTACCCCTTATTTGGGCTTGCGTTCTACACCGTCGACGCGGCTATCCTACTCTCCATCATCATAGCATCGTACCCGCCGCACAGCCACGAACCGAGGCAATACGTCTACCATGTCCTCCAGCAAGCAATCGAGCGACTATCCCATATACAACCGTACAATCCAATTGCCAAGGCAGGACTCGGTATTGTTCAGCGATGTTATGAAAAGTTGAAGGAAGCCTGTCACTCTCCTACCAATACTTCCGCCACATTGTCATCCTCGGCTGTGTCTCCTCGGTTTGAGCTACGGGATCTCCGCCAAGAATTGAGTCATCAGAATAGTGTGCCAACAGAGCTCGATCTATTAGAACCTGAGCTTTCTGTGATACCCGATAGCTTCAGCGAGGCATACTGGCTTGACCAGCTGAGCCTCATCCAACCGCCGACCGCCGTCGGGCAGGACCCCGACACGTTTTGGGATTCCTTGTTATTCGAACGTGATGTATTTTAGAGAAGTTATACCTGTCGCCTGTGTCAATCCCACACATGGTAGAGGTTGCAATGCAAGGTTGCCATTCAGGTATGGAATTTGAAATGGCGTACAGAGCATCTAAGTCTTGAAGCAGGTCATCATCGACAGCTACCACGGTTAGCTGGCCCTAAAAAAGGCACACTGTGCACTTCATGATAGATTGCTCTTTCTCAATGTTCCTCTAGTTAGCATTTACGAAGGAGATAGTGTTGATTACAGATAACAACTGATTTCAATAAGCACTCCCAAAATGACCCCTGCGACAACACTTCGTAAGATTTCAAACCCGAGATACATGAATTGGCTCCTAACAACTGTGGCTACCCTCCTGCTCCGTACCCTTGCATCCACTACTGCAGAGCTTTGGATGACCGACAATACCAGGATTTGTGCAATGGAAAAGAATGTTTTTCAGGTCTTCCTTCTCAAATTCCGTTCCATTCAGCACGGTCTTGAGATCATCTTCCGTGAATCCTAGTCCACTTTAGTGCCCGATGGTCGACATCTGTAACCATTCATCCCGACTTACCCTTCTTGCTAATGAGCTCAGCTGAGCAGTAGTCGAAACTTGGTGTGCATACTTTCTCTGCGACTGCAACGGTGATCAGGGAGAAGAGCGCGAAGAAAACGGAGGATGACTTCATGTTGAATTCAGAGTTTAGGAGACGTGAGACGTGAGTACCAAGCTAACTTTTATCTAGGGTCTGAGGTAATTTTATTTCAAGATAGTAATGAACACATTCGAGTCCATTGGACGTATTTATAGGAGAAGGAGCTGATCTACGTTCCTCGTGAACAGGATGTGGAATGTTGACATGGGACTCAACGTCATGGTATGTGGCATCGGCATCGCGGAGCACTCTTGAAGAATGCTGGAATAGCGCCTTGATTCTCTTGTTTTCTTCCAGTCTAGACGATAACTAACTCAATCTCAAAGAGTTAGAGGACTTTGTTTTGCATTGTCAGCGTGAGCACAAAGCCGACAGCCCCAATTTTTTTTCTTTCTCTCTCTCTCTCGACGCTTCGAAGCATATCTTTGACAGGACCTCTTTTTTATCGCGTGACTCTTACATACCAGGCACCCCAGCATTCTTCCTCGGTCCCGACGTTGGGGGGTTGAGGTTGTCATTGTCATGTTCAGCATGGAGCAAGCATTCTGCCACATTTTACATGTTGACCATTTATATACAAAGCAGTGATGTGGTTCTTTCTGGTTGATTTTCCAGAATTCGAGGAGGGGTTACGGGCCGCGTATCCACAGACTATCCTAGGACAGCCCTTAGCTGTTGTTGGCACGTTTCGCATGCAATGGCCAATTTACCTGGAAAGCATTTATATCCCTAATATACTGAGGTCGAAATTATCTTATGCCAACGTTGTCTCTTATAAAGTTGCAGTAAGATTGCTCGTAAAGACTTTACAGGTCTGCGATTGCGTATACAATTGTCTTCCGAAGTTCACGTATATATGTTATGAGATAGATGGACACCCATGATGGATGGCCCTTCACTACGGCATGCATCACGAGTTTTGTAAAACCATTTAATACATAGATCTATCCCAAGTTGGTTTGTTTGTTATAGACTCCTGGTCGTTATGGCTATTCTGATTTCTTTCTTCCCTTGTTTTCCCCATGTAGTCCACAGTCTTACAATATCATCCAATCTACTGTAGATAGAGCGACTGGAACACCTCCCGGCTAGTATAAAGTCCATAGTGTTCGAAGAAAAAGGGATTGTTTGTATTATAAACTCCTTACGTATACGTGCTGTCAATATTCACATTTACGGTCACATGCTGGGCGATTAGATAATTTCACCTGCGAGAAGATGTGCAATTTAATAATTTATCACTTATTCAATACACAATCATATGTGTAGGAATAATTCTCGGTGATCAGATTGCTCAACCTCATGATGTAAGCCAAATGGTTCTCACATATCCACCACCTTTTACCCTCTTCATCTGCCTCCCCTCTTCCTTCCTTCCTTCTCGTATATCAAGGGTGTTATCATCACACATATCGTGACTCGGCTCGTTACCCCTCAACAACCAATACACCTGTGTGTACTTTGTCAACAGTGTCGGCAATTGCATACCGTGGAACTGATGCTGATACCGGTGCTGCATGGGTGTTCGCGCCACCGATGTTATGATGGGAGGAACCACCACCCACACGATGCCGGGTGGACAGCGTGCAAAGGAGCCAGATCAATGTTTATGGCCAGCCGGCCGACAGCCCCTAGCAGGCAAACCCCATGGTTGGCCGACTTTTAGTAATTGAGACCGGGGCGCTGAGTCACTTTCACGCCTCAAGGGAGATGCTGGTTGGGGGGTTGAGAATTCCTTGGGAGAAACCCGCATTGTTCTGGCCATGTCTCTCAATATCAGCCCTGGAGGCATTTTAGGCGCCCCGCTCGTCTTGGATTTCAATGCGGTGCTCGATCGCCTGCCTCGTGGAAACGAAGCTGACATTGTGTTCCCGGCATATGGCTTGTCGCGTTGCACCCGTTCATTTTGATACCAGGCACCAATGGTGATGGGGTCGGGCATTCGATGTTCGGCTGGAACTTCTCGTTCATTCCCCCCTTGCTGATTTCTTTGGGATGAAACATTCCGTCTTGCTCATACGTTAATGCTTGGCAGGCTTGTCCAGTTTGCCAAGGTCAACAAGCTTTGCCAATGAAGGCTTGGTCCGATTACCCGTGGTGAAACACACAGCTTGCTCGCTAGCAAAAGTCAAGGGGCTCCCATGATTTGTGGACCGGGCGAAAATAGCCGACCCAGCTCGGCTGTTGAACGTTGGACCAACCGAGCGTTAGTACGGAGTAGATATGTCCATAAACAATCCAATTGCAGGAAGAATCCACTCCGTCCGCAATTTATTTGTCACTTAGCTTATGCTAAAGCGAACAAGCGCTTTTCCGTCTTAGGGAAAAGCCATCAATCGTCGAGCATTTCCCACGCGCTAAAGCATGGAGCCGACGCAATCACCCCCACCACCCAGACGTTGACTGTGCACGAGCCAGCAATACGCATAATGTTGCTTTACGCGTGCAAACATGTTCTGGACCGGGTAGGAAATGTCTTGATTTCACTATCTGATCTCTCGGGGTAGGGTCGCTCAGCCCCTGGTAGCATCTGAAACTTCCGTTATCACCCCATGAATCGACAGAGATCCACTACAGCTCCTAGGTAAGATTACTTCAATACAATAAGATTGTATAAATGTGCTACTCTAGAACTACTCTATGCATTCCACAGGCAACTTACATTCTCTTCCTCTCTTTAATCATTCTTTTAGTCCTTCCTTTAGTCTTTCCTTCACCGACTGACAGTCATGAAGCGCAGTGCGCTCATTCTTTCGTTCATTCCCCTTGCTCTTGGGTGTGACAACCCAAATTCTCCCGGGCACAGCTGCGCCTCCATCTACTCGGTTTCTGCTGCGGCAGCTTCCAGCTTCTGTGCCACCTTCACTGCAAGTACAGTGACTGCTACCACGGGAGTACCAGCGGCCTTCCTCAGCAACTGCGACTACAAAACCAAGCATCTGTCTAGCGCATGCAGCTGCCTGGGGACCGCAGCTGCTCCTACTGCTGCGGCTCCACCTAGCGTGGTAGGCACCTAGTCGGCGTCTTGTTAAAGTGGTCGCACTACGGAACTAACTCATGGGACCAGACCTCTGTTTATGTCACTTCAGCAACTGTTACCCCGACGTCCTCTGCTTTCAAGACCAGCACTGCCCAGATTGTCGAGGTCGCGAAGGCAGTCACATCCTCGACAGCGGTGGTCACTACTCCAGCTTCTGTTCCAACAGCCAGCTCATCCTTTACCGGTAATGGTGGAACAACCTGCACGGTAACTGAGTATGCTGCAATCTCCTCCGCTGTCGCGTCTTGCTCCAACATTCTCTTGTCCGACATCTATGCACCCCCTTCCAGCACAATCGATCTCCAAGGCCTGCAGACTGGCGCTGCTGTGATCTTCGCTGGCAAGACTGTGTGTTCCACATCCCTCACGCAGTGACGAGATACTAATCCATCGCACAGACATTCGGAGACACTGCTGACAGTGACTTTGATCCCATCGTTGTCTCTGGAACCAGTATCACCATCACTGGTGCCGAGGGCCACGTCATTGACGGCAATGGCGAGGCATACTGGGATGGAGAGGGATCGAATGGTGGCTCTGACAAGTTAGACTTACACATCACCACCTAGACAAAGCAGTTACTGACCTCTTCCAGGCCCGACCACTTTTTCGTTGTAAAGGATATGTACAATTCCCGCATCGAGAACCTCTACATCCAAAACTGGCCTGTCCACTGCTTTGAGATTGAGAGTACTGAGCACCTTACTATCTCCGGCCTGACTCTCAACAACTCCGCCGGCGATGCCGCCAACAGCAAAAGTGATGGGGACCCCGCGGCCCACAACTCGGACGGCTTCGATATCAAACAGAGCAGCTATTTCACATTGGAGAACACCTGGGTGCACAACCAGGATGACTGTGTGGCTGTGACCAGCGGAACGGATATCGTCGTCGACGGAATGTACTGCTACGGCGGCCACGGCCTCAGCATCGGCTCCATTGGCGGCAAGAGCGACAACACGGTCAACGGAGTCACCTTCTCCAATTCGCAAGTGATAAGCAGCGAGAACGGCTGCAGAATCAAGACGAACTCGGGTGAGACCGGCGAGGTCTACAACATTCGCTATGAGAACATCACCCTGTCCGACATTAGCGACTACGGGATCGATGTCCAGCAGGACTATCTGAACGGCGGTCCCACCGGTGAGCCCACTAACGGAGTCACCATTGCCAATGTCACCTTTGTGGACGTGACAGGAACGATGAGCGACGGCCAGGACTACTACATTCTCTGTGGAGATGACAGCTGCTCCAACTTCGTCTTTGACGGCGTAGACATTACTGGCGGTAGCGGTGATAGCTGTAACTACCCCTCGACCGGCTGCCCCTAAGTTAAGACAACGTTGTGTGAACGTCAAGTGGGTCCACGGGCGGAATTGGAGACTGGCGGGCTGGGTAGATATTAGAAAATATTGAAAATACGAACCAGGAGTTCTGAAAACATCGTTTACCCTGTACCAGGAACCAAGTGACCTCCTGAGGACGGCCACCTTCGTTCCTAAACCGTGCGAAATCAACATAAGCAGGCATGGAGTAGCTCAATGTGCCACCAGGACAGTAGAATTGTGGGTATAATACACTCGACGATCATGAATATAACCTGCTAGTCAACACGGCCAACCAGACCTCAAGCAGACGCCTCCGCCTTCAAAGCCAGCTCCTTCAAACTCCTCTTCTCCTTCTCAACGCCCTGCCTCCGCTGCGCAACATCACAGACCTCGACATCGCCACACTCACACTCGCCCTCCCTCACCCAGCGATACGTAATACTCCAACGATCCCTGCGCGGCCTAACCTCGCCATCAGGCAAGGTATCATTCTTCCTCTTCTTAATACCATGCGACCAAAACAGCCTCGACTCGCCAGTCATCTGCATCATACTCCTCGGCAGCAAATCGACATCCACGCGGTCCTCCCCGCGCCGAAACTGCATCATAATGGGCGCCCCAAGCGACAGCGCATACAGCTGGTCATACGCCATATGCGCATCTACATGGGGCGGGATGCCACTGCCGGGCGGGTAATACTGCAGACAGACCTGGTCCGGGGGGCGACTCTCCGTCGTCGGGATCAGCGGCTGCAGCCAGGCCGGGAACTCCTTGTACGGAATGTCCGGGTCGATGCCGAACGTCTTGTAGTCGAACGAGTAGCCGTAGTGCAGCGAGATGCGGCCGCTCCGCGACGGCCACTCTAGTTCATTTTGGAAGATGCTGATCAGCTCCGCCTCGTGCGAGGCGCTTATGAAGTCTTCGTGCCACAGGATGCCGTGGGGCTTTATGGGGAGCTCGTGGAATTTGCGAGAGTCTTGGGGGGTCATGTTTTTTGTTTTCTTTTTTTCTTTTTTTTGTATTTTTATGTTGGTGGTTGCGTTGGGGGAAACAGGTGATGGCACGTGATGGGGGAAGAGTTTTGTGTTTGGGTTTGATAGATTTGTTTCTGGGCCGGCGGAAAGCAAGTCTTGGCTGTGGGGTCGGGTTTAGTTGCTTGCTGTCTGTGCTGGCGGTTGTATGTTACACTATCAACTATACGTCGGGTGTTATATGTGTCTGGCATGATTCCTCAACCGGTATATATCGGACTCGAATACTATCCTGATAAAGAGTGAATCATTCATGATAGTCTCATGAACCCGAGATAGCAGCAATTGGTTCAAACTGGCACCCCATGCCACGGCAATATATATATATCTCTCTCTCCACCCGCACCGTTCACCTCGACTACCACAGCACATCACACCACGCTACAACCTACCCCAACTCACCCCCAAATTAAATCAACCCCCTATGCAGCAGCACCCCCCCGAGTTTCAGGAACCCCCAACCAAGCCCCCGCCAAAAGCACCCAAACGGCACCAGAAAACCAAACCGCCGCACCACCGGCAGCCACACTCCCCGCAAAGGTATTCACGATCATCGCCACCAGGGCAAATAACCCCCAGCAGAAGCCCATGACAGCGACCCCGAAGCCACGAACCGGGGCTGCGAAGATCTCCACCGTGTACGTCGTCAGAACGGCTAGCCCGGCATACTGCAGGAAGGACAGTATGCATTCGAATGCCAACAGGCCATTCCGGGACTGTGCCAGCGTGGCAAGGAGCATGAAGAGGCCGGTGAGGAGGGCGATTGCGGAGCCGGTGCGTTTGCGGCCCAGGGCCTTGGTTTGGATTAGGATGCCTGCGGCTATGGGGCCGGGGATTGCGCAGAGGGAGGTGTAGAGGTAGCGACTGTAGAGGTAGTTGGTTGTTACTGTTGTTGCGGTTATGGGGGCGATGTTGTGCGTGGTGGAGAGGTAGGTGGTGAGGGAGGTTTTGTGGAGGGGGAAGGTGAGGCCGGTGAGGGCCCAGAGGAGACAGAGGATCGGCAGGCCGGTGGGTCGGAGGGCGAAGATGAGGGAGCGGAAGCGTGGAGTTCGTCGGGATGCGGTGGCGTCGATGGTGGAGTCGACTCGGGCGAAGGAGGTCTCGTCGAGCCAGGTGCGGCGTTTGGTGTAGGTCGCCATGTCGTTGACTAGTTGCGCTGCTTCGGCGTCGCGGCGCTTGGAGAGGAGGTATTTGGGGGTCTCACGCAGGGGGAATGTGAAACGGCAGAGGTAGAGGAATAGCGTGATGCAGCCGAATGTCCACCATACGTAGCGCCATCCTTTGTTGGAAACGTAGTGGCAGGATGAGCTGCTCTGCGCTGAGCCTTCGGCTCGGGAGGCGTGTGTCGACAGAGCTTGTGATGTGCTGATGGCGTCGGGGCCGGTGCCGCAGGTATACCCTGCGATGAACGCCCTGGATGATGTGAACATGATATATGATTTTTGAAAGCGTGGTCTGGGTTAACGTACCATCCGACTGCGGCTGAGACTAGCTGGCCCAATCCCCAGAACGCCCCTTGCACGGTAATCAGGAATTGATGGGAAGCCGGAAGAGACTCGATCAGGATAATGGCGTCAACGAGCTGATTACCTGCGACGGCAAAGCCGACCACGAAGCCGACGACACAGAGGCCGGTGAAGGAAGGCATGCCGGCACCGACTAGTCCTCCCATGCCCATCAGGACGATCGTGCTGGTGAAGATCCACCGACGACCCAGGATGTCTGACATCCATGGCCAGGCAGTTGCACCAGCAGTCAGGCCTACAGCTAGACTGACGAAGAGGTAGGACGATTTATCTCCGGGAAAGAAGAACTGGGCTTCGTTTGAAGCCGACGGGGCGATAACGACGAACGACATCGTCCAGAACTAGATACAGGTTAGGTTGGACGAGGAGAAGACTCCAGATAGACTGCTTACACTATCCAGAAACCATCCGGCGCTGGTGATGATGAAGAGCACCCATTGGTATAAGCCCATTTGCATGTCAGCCAGTGCCTGATTCAACAGCTGTGCTTTGGCAGCATAGACTGCATTACTGCCAGCCTGGTTTGTAGGAGTGCGAATAGACACGCCATTCGGCCTTCTGTAGGACTTGCTGGCGTCCGTTCCTTTACCATGCAGTGACTTTTCCACATCCACGACTAAAGTAGATGCAAATGTGCTCTGTGCTTCGACATTCCTCTCGGAAGTCTGACCATCGTTGATGGGATCTGGTATTTCGTTGGCCATGATAGTTCCCAGGTTAAAACTGTTCACCGCTAGCAGAAAGACCATGAGAATGAGTGACAGGAGAGGGGAAGCAGAGCGTCGACCCCGCTAATATAGTCCGGAGGTCGGGCAGCCCCGAAGGCTGCTGGTGACTACACATGCTTGCAGACCGGACGATATGCATGCGTAAAGATATCACACGGCTTGGCATACATTGATACCGCCAGCAGGCCGCGGAGATAGATCTAAATCTGCGTGTGTAAGTCGTGAGTCACGGCTCTGATGTTCCGATAGATGGAGGAGCAGGTCTATCTACCAAGCCACGCTACCATGCTGAATATACCTGTGTCTTTCATTTCTACAGTACTATGTGCTCGAACCGTAGAGGAATGAGTGGGCTTGGTCAAGTCATAGAATCCCTTTGACCACAGTAGGAATACAACTTATCCGGTTCCTCGGATATAGGCCATATGGCCAGACCAGCCATAGTACCCTTAAGAGTCCTATTGGGCACGAGTGGAGAAGACATGGGAACCATAATTGGCGCACCGCTAGTTGCCCCATAGCATCGGCTATGTGCCGTGCAGCCATTGCTATTCTTTTGTTAGCCACCATGTAGAGAACTCACTAGTAAGGGAAATCGGTTCATGAAAGAGAGATAATGCAACTGATGAGAGGGCTCTATATTACAGGGAAGGAAGACATCATACGAGTGGTCCTCACTGTGTATGATTTGGTAGAATGAATGGTGGTGGCTGACATGAACTAGCGAGTCAGTCAACTAGCCCTAGGCCAATGCCAACCTCGGAGTCGGTCTGAGTTACCTTATGCGGCAATCCAGAGCGGATCCCGGCTGTTGAGCTAGGAATCATGTTCAAATTACGGAGATTAGATAAAGTGATGTGATAAGGTAAAGGTATCTTCAGGATCAGTCTCGTGATGGACATTTTGCGCTAAACCAATTACCAGCCAGATATATGTGCCAACAGTGAGCACAGACCTAACTACGGAAGACTACGGTGACGTGAAGAACTATAAGACAGTCCATGCGCACCGTCTCAGCACAGAGCATTGTGCTCTTTCTCTGCTTTCTTATACATGACATCATATTGCCTCTATTCCAAGGTACAGAAAAGCCTCAAACAGCAAGCACAAATAGCCTACAGCCATATCGAAGTTGCATCGCTATCAAGCATCCCAAACGGCGCACACAATTTCACCCTCCAAATCCTTCTCTGCTAGGAGCGGCCCAACATCTCCCGACTTATCATCCCAGCCCGCTACTGCTACGCGATGGCTACTCTGTAACGCAATGGCGATTGCCTGATCCTCCCCCGAGATCTCAAACTGACGGGGAATGGAGCCATACGCCGGGTACAAACCGGTATGCGTGACATTAGTAAAGGACTTTCCGCTGGCATCAGCACAGGAGAACACGGAAATGGTGTCATTGTTGGTGCCAAACTTGTTATCCTCGCGATTGCTGATTACGATATGGCTATTGGCAGGCTGTTCCATGACAACGGATTAGCGTGTATTCTGTTGATATATTCAGTTTGTCAGGAAGGGACTCACCGAGATCGCGATCTCTGCAGCAGTGGCCCCGCTTGGCAGTTCCGGCCCGCCATACGTGGTAGTCTCGAAGAACTTGTCAAAGGCGATCGTTCCGTTCTTGGGATAGTGAACTTCATATCCCGTCAAATGGCTGTTGAGCTCCGATGTCAAATAGAACCGGGTATCGATAGCTCGGCCCGGACGTGCGCCCTTGGGCGTCCAGAATGCGCCATGTCTGGGGCCAGAACCTGGAGACACCGCCAAGGGTGTCTGCGGTTCCAACAACCCCGTCGAAGGGTTGATGCGGAAAATACGCACGAGGTCGGCTCCCAGATCGGGAACCAAAATGAATTGACCTGTCGGATCAAGCACTACACCGTGGGGGTGTGGTGCATCTTGTCGGTCGGGGTCTGTACCCGGGCCATCCAGCTCATACGTGAAGGTCTGGCGGCGGGTAAAGACACCATTGGGGTCAAGGGCATATGTTGTCACCGATGAGCCCGAGCTACACAGGGGATGGCGTTAGGCATCGCAGTATAAATTGGGGGCATGGTTCAAGTTGGGTCCTTACTAGTGGGCCACGGCAAAGAATGTGCGATTTCCCGCAGAATACAGGTGTGATTGAACGGGACCTAGTACCGTCTCCGACTGATGAATCTTGGACAGCGATCCATCGGAGTCGACTTCGAAGGAAGTTAATGTGCCGTTCGGTCCATTGAGGCCCTCATCAAGGCAGAACAGGAGGCTCTTATCGGCATTGAGCATCAGCCAAGAAGGATTGGGGCCGCAGTCAGTCGTGCTTGAGATTGTCGTCAATTCATAACCAGAGTCGGACCTGCCGAGCTCTAGCGTGGTAACCGCGCCCGCATATGACGCGGTATAGAGCTTAGACGCAGTCGAAGATGCTCCAAATAGAGCGGCGGTAAGATAGAGACCCTTCATTTTGGTAATTCCCCTTCGTTTACAAGTCGACCAACATGGATGGCAGCAAACGCTGGTGGATAAAGGGCTTACACGGAGTCGTGGTGGGAGTTCCTTTTTAAGCAGGCCACCCACATTACGCGGGGGATCGCCCAGTCGCCGGTAAAAATGCCGGGAAAAATGCCACGTCGGGACAACTTCAACCACACCACAGTCCGGAATGCTGTCCTGCAATTTCGGACTGGCGGATGCTGACTTTCCCGGTGATTTGCTGAAAGGGCCGCTCTCGATCACTAGCTGATATCCTCCTCATATAAATTCCCGGACGGTTTGGTTTCATTGGCTATGTCTGGTTGTCTTATTCTGCAGGATCCGAAATATAGTGCTTGGCTGCATGTTAGCGTCGTCCAGGAGACGATACTATGCTTTCCGATTCTGTGGGGCACACCGGATAGCATAATCTGCTACGATTCACTGCAGAGGTCTACCTTGGCGGGCCCAATTATTGAGACCCTTGCTGAGGCATTGTAGAGTAATCCTCACAGGGGCAGAGTAACCCCGCCATGCCACGCAGCATGTCACTGGTCCCCCTTCCAGCCATCTGGTCAACAGCCTGGGATCTGGAGTTACTCATATACCCAGAACGAATATGCTAGCAACCCATGAACTAGTGACATCATGACGAATTGCTCTTAATGTTCTGTCTTAGAATGGCATGGTTCGAAACCATTTGCCGGCGGACTACCTAAGGAGGCGTTTTCGATGCGGAGCGGCGCTTCTCCACTCACGTCCTGATTCGCCGAGCCCAAGGTGAAAAGTATAGAAAATAAACATCGAGTTGGACCAGTAGTGGTACAGTCCCCGCATGCATGTCGGAAAAGCGTGAACTTGGCCAATTCTCGGCATGCCGCGATTTCGGCTCCTGCCACCGGTCAGATGATGGGATTCTCTTCCTATGGCATGGCACTGATACTTCACGGAAGCATATTGGACCACCACTCTGCCTCATCGTAGTGCTGTTGGTCAATTAGCCAATCAATGTTGGCGGGAACAAATCGAACTATCTATCTGCTACGAGTCCTTCATCTCATTCGTAGTATGCGGCATCCTGTCACTTGAGCTCCTTGTCCGATTTGTACTAGTACGTGCTGTCTTAAATTATGCTTCGCTAGGCGATCAAATACCAAGCGGCTAGTTCTTCTAGTTCTTCTTCAAATTCCCGAGAACGCTCCTTGTCGAAAACGGAAGTCTAGCTTAACCGCAGTATCACTGTGAGCATGACTGTGACATAGGATCTACTCGTTGGGGCCCATCCTACGGTCTACATATGAGTAGAACTGTTGTAAATGTTGGATTTCAGACGAATTCAACTGTTAACATATGCTTAAGTGATAGATCACCAAAAGAGTAGTATTGTGACGGCTAATCGCGTGCATCTTTCTCTTATTCGTGTTAGCACAAATATGGATCCGGGTAGCAGTTGGCGGTCGTTTGTTGGGAGGAGCAACTCACCTTCCCGGCGACGTTTGATTTTCCCTTGATTATTTGTGATACCTTTTCCAAGGTTCAATTATGCACATGCATGCCGCTCAACCCTCTCACAATGTCTATGATAGCTTTTTGAAATCGGATTATGGCTTCATTGGCCACCATCACCAGGGATAAATATATGTCGCTATCAAGATAAACCCCAGCATGCATCATTCACGATTAGGATGCTGCCCAACATGGGCTGGATATCTTAAGACACATCTCCACAACAAATCCCCAGCACAAAGCTTGGCACTTTAACAGACACCTCCTTGATACATTCATGTTAGAAAGTTATTCAAGGACACATCTTGCGTTTATCTTTGAGCCATTGCGGGAGCCCCTTTGGATCTATAGACAGGGATTTATTGGGGACGTTATACCCTCTAGTATACGGAAGGCTATTATTCAGATCGTTTTTCAAGCGCTGAATTATCTTCATTCAGAGTGTCACATCATTCACACAGGTACGTTTCTACACAGAGACACTCATAATAGGATGAGCTAATACTAAAGATAACCAAATTTAAAACCAGACAATATAATGGTCAAGATAGAAGATTCATCTATTCTAGATGAATTCGCCAAAGACGAATACGACAGTCCCCTTCCACAGAAAGTTTGCGCTGATGGCCGTATCATATACCTGTCTCGAAACAATTCTGGGATATCCCAAAGGGCTACTGGGATAATGACAATCACCAACTTTAATCTCTCCATTTATGGCGACAGACCAAACAATGGCTGTATCCAAGCAGAGATTTATCGCGCTTTTAGGTCCTCCCCAAAAGGCCTTTTGGATACTGGAAAACGAACCGGGCTTTTCTGTACGTCTGATGGTAAGTGTGCTCTTTCCTGCTTCAAGTCTACGTATTAATTTACTAACTCTGTCCAACAGGAAGTCTCAAAGACCCAACACTCTTACCGACAAACCTTCAACTTCCAGAGCTTGCTAAGCAACATACATAGCGAAAACAAGACGATGTTTATCGAATTTGTTAAAAGAATGATTAAATGGCGTCCAGAAGAACGGAGTTCAGCGAAAGAATTGCTCCAGGACC